AATAAGGGCTCTCCCGGATGACGGACTGACGGACAAACGGATACATGAAAATTAAGCTTAATTCGAAAATTATGACATTTTATCGGTCCGTCAAGTTTCAACTTCGTACGTCTGAGAGAGAAAGGTTAAATAATTTTAACTCATCCGCCACTAAACATCTGTTTTTGACGCCTAACGTTATTTTAAGATAATTTATTTTCAAATATTTTTATATTTTTTCAATAGGATTGTAAAACGAAAATATTACGTTCGTTATGTGAATAATGTTTTACTGTTAAGTTTTTATTTAATAAGAATAACTAAAAAAAAGAAAGGACAAACAAAAAAAAATTAAAACTAGAACTAAAAGGACCTGCTTTTTTAAAACTATACATTTTAATGTAAATTAGGGCTAGTATATTCTTTTTATAAGGTATATTTACCTACCTTTAAATTTATTAGACAGCTAACTGTTAAAGTTACAATTGTTGACATAATTGTAACTATGACAATTAAGCATTAGGTAAATTTAGTAAGTGAATATACTGACACTTAATTTCTAATTGTCGCAAAATCAATCCGTTAAACGTCATTAAAAAACGTATGCATGAAAATTAGAACATTTCTTATCGGACGATTTTATTGAAAACTGACATACGGATGACGGACAAACGGATACATGAAAATTAAGCTTAAGGCATATCTACTTTTAGTAACACTTTGGCACATTTACATGTTATATTGTTTTTTATTTACATTATTAAATTTAGTTATGGTTATTTTCTTTCAATGTATATTATAAGAAATCTTGCATGAGAAATTAAACAGAGGAAACAAATATAAAGCAACAACACTAAATTGTTTTCACGTTTAAATAAAACTAAAAATCCTAGCAACAAACTGATTAAACTAAGGGACTTAATAAAACTTTTTAGGGAGAGTGACAGGCACATACGTATTTTTATTTTATTTATTTATTTTTTATGGTCATTTTTGCCGCCCCCTGTAACTGCGCCCTTGCACGGTGGGCTGGCCCTGGCCAAAATTTTATCTGATAAAAAAAATAATACACCTATGTAAAGAAAAACCCTTAATTTGTAAGGTTCCGAAAAAGTAAAAAAACATTTTATTTAAAAAAGATAAAGCTGTTTAAAGCAAAGCAATGCGGAAAAAATTGAGATTTTAGATTTGAACGGAATTTTCTCTGCCTTTAAGGCGCTGTTACTTCTTATACATAGCAAATTGGATGCTGGGCACCTCAAAAGAAACCTAAAAGATACTCCTCATTGCAATTTTTCATTTTAACAGTCCGATGAAAAACATTTTGTATCTCTAATATAAAGCTAAGCCCAATAGCTATTTTGATAGGGAATCGAATGCTCTATAAAAAGGTATCCTATGATTTTTTCGTAAACCAAGACATTCAAAAGATGTCTTGGGAATTTTATAATAGATTTTGAAAAAATATATTTTTTTTTTTGGAAATTAACTGATCTACAAAACAGGTTTTTTTAGTTTTTTGATAAATGTAAGCGTTTTAAATATAATCGCAACTAAAGTTCAACTTATACCGAAAAAATATTAATTTTTCTTTGATTTTTATAAATTTGTGTTCTTTCCTATTTATTAAAATAAGCTATTATACATTTTGTTCTCAAATTTTATTTCAAATTTTTTTAAAAAGTATTCCGGTATCCAAGCCTCTTGGATGATACATTTAAGAAATTTATTTGTCATATAAATAATTACATTACAACATTTATACCAATGAATTATTTAGGAGGTGAGTTTTAAAAAACCCTTGTCATATTAAGAGCTTGGTATCCTAACCACTCGACCATACGGGATATACGTTATATTAAACAAAACTTATTATTATTCCGCGTGCGTGATTATCTTTGAAACGCTTACATTTATCGAAAAAACAAAAGACAACTTTTTTGTAGATCAGTTAATTTCCAACAAAAATATGCACTACTCGAGTAGTGATGATCATTTCAAAATCCTAACTATTCTGTGAGTCATAAAATTTTGAAACAAAATATTTAAAACTTTTCAAACTTTGACCTAATGGACCTTTGACCTTTTGAATGGATAGGTTTACGAAAAAACCATAAAATACTTTTTTGTAGAACATTTATTTCTGAATAAAATGAAAAAACAAGGCTTTAGGTCAATTATTAAGGTCACAAATTAGTTTTGACCAGAAAAGTAGCATTCCAACCCACTGAAGAGATGTTACGGAATAGCTTTTTTCTACTCCTATTACGGAATTTGACCGTTCTAATATCACTTTTATCTATGGAATGACATATGTATGTTCCGAAAAGTGTTACAGAATTAAATATTCTATCATCGGATGACAGAATAAACACTCGTGGCGACATCTCTGTTTTTAATATCTAACAAATTTTAGACCGATCCAACCTTCCAACTTTCTTCCAATTAAATTATTTTTCTATGGTATTTTTTGGAAACGTAGAATAAGTATAGTCTGAAACACGTTTGGAATTGCATATTCCGCTCTCGTAAAACAGTTCCCAACGCGAACCTATTCCAGATACCTATTCCGGTTCTTGCCTACCCTTGTGGAAATTTTTTCTCTGAGAAAGTCTTACTTTCTCTGAAAAAGTCTGAATAATACTTATTAAGTCGGAAAAAGTCAGAATAAGACTTATTAAGTCGGAAAAAGTCTGAATAAGTCTTATTAAGTCAGACTAATAGCAAGATTTGGGAGTCTTCTGGAAGAGTTAATAAGACTTTTTAAGACTTAATAAGACTTTTAGTAGAGAAATGGTAGGTTCCTATGGCGATAAAAATAAATATCCGAAATAATTCATAGAGATTGTAAGTATTTGGTTATCGTAAAATAAAACACATAGACAAGTATTTATTAACATTTTTGCTATTGTTATAAGCCAAGTTTATTGCATAATTACCTATATACTAACATAGGTAAGAATCTTACCGTAAGATGTAATAATTATAACAATTATAATTTTATACATACGATGCGCTTAACATGCTTTCATTGTTTCCAACATAGAAAAAGGAGTTAATATCAAGTCTATAGACATGATATTTTCGATAGACTTATAAGACAAATATGGTTGATCTTCGTGTTTCATTCATCTTTGTATCATGGTTGATCTTCGTGTTTACGTACAGTGTTGCCATAAAAGTTCCTGACCATAAATTACAAAATACTAAAATAATAATAAAAATGTAACAAGATAGAATAAAATAATTGTGCATATTTAGTAAATATACAATATTATTTACTGAAAATTTCTTTTGTTATTATTTTGATAGAAATTTGCAAATCACCCGCAAATATTATGAAAATACCCGATTTTCGAGTAAAATACTTGCAAACGGCAACACTGTGTCCCACTGACAGGTCAGCTGTGCTCTAATTGGTCAGCTAGCTAAGCTGGTCTCTCGATATTACGTCTTACGTCTATTGTTTGTGACAATGTTTAGATAGGTAAATATTTGCGTGTATCAAAAGAAACTATTAAAATAAAACGTACAGTGGCAAACCCTTTTTCTATTGTGGAAGCATGCATGTCAAGCGCATCGTATGTATAAAATTATAATTGTTATACCTAATTATTACATCTTACCTATGTTATTATATAGGTAATTATGCAATAAAATTGGCTTATAACAACAGCAAAAATGTTAATAAATACTTTTCTATGTGTTTTATTTTACGATAACCAAATACAACCTCTATGAATTATTTCGGATATTTATTTTTATCTCCGTAGGTACCTACCATTTCTCTACTAAAAGTCTTATTAAGTCTTAAAAAGTCTTATTAACTCTTCCAGAAGACTCCCAAATCTTGCTATTAGTCTGACTTAATAAGACTTATTCAGACTTTTTCCGACTTAATAAGTCTTATTCTGACTTTTTCCGACTTAATAAGTATTATTCAGACTTTTTCAGAGAAAGTAAGACTTTCTCAGAGAAAAAATTTCCACAAGGGTATTTCGACCCAAATGCACGGTTATAGGCATTCTCGCTGGAGCTGGTTCAGCTGGGTAAACATAATCAGGTGACTCTCGCAACAGGTTAAAACTATTACAAATACGAAGCAGTATTTACATTTAGTTTCTCTACTCTTTTATTTAGTGCTTTTTTCTGATAAAAAAATAAAAAGATTCCAATCGGTTTTATTCGCCATTTACCGTCACAGGCATCTTGAATAGAATAGACATGATTCCTTGTATCATGAGAATAGAAAACACTAACTGCGCGACAGCGGCTGCCAGGACTCGGAATAGGAAAGGCCGGAATAGGTTCCGATATTTGGGAATAGGTACGCGGAATAGGCAGGTGATACCTATTCCAAAGTAGCCGGTCCAGTTCCACTGTAACATCCCTAACCCACCGTGCCTTGGCGGTGGCCCCTTTTGCCAACTCCTAGTTACGGCCCTGCTGAAACAGTACAAAAAAGCAGACGTCGGTACAAATCAGCGCCGCTGGTGGTAAAAAAAGAATACTTAACTAATTTGTGCGATTTAATGGGCATTTTTGTCCCCTATTAAGTTTGGACTCTGTGTAAGCTCCAAGATAATAATATCTATTTGTTGGAAAGAAAATGAAAAATGAACGAAAACTGACCAAAAATGATTTTTATCAAAAAAATTGTCCGAAATTTTCAGAATAGGTACTCAAAATTGCAAATTAACCATAGATGTGTGGCATATTCTGGGGGTTTGAAATTAAGCAAAAACTTTTATCAAGAATGGAAATTTTCTGAGAAATGTTATATTTTTTTTCCTCTTTGTAACTCCATTCACAACATTGCAGGGGTTATTTAACTTTTAACGCCGCCATTAGAGCGCAATATTTTTGTTCTATCGGACGTTGCCTGCACAGAAGGCAACCAAGATTACTTATGTGTAATTTTAGTGTGCTGTCCATAAATGCTCAATTAGCGACCAGTGTTATCTAAAAAGTATATTCTTGTTGAACTGTAAATTGCAAGCTATGTAATTTTTTTTGTTTAGGACCTCAAGATATGGCATATCAGGATGAGCATGATAAAGATATACCAAACCTAAACCGGAGCATTTCTAATGGACACGATTGCAAGCAGGCCCTAAAATTGAACGGGCATTCCGAATTGAACAGCTCGGCGCCGATGAACGGCAAGGCTTAGTGTGATACAATTGTATTTTTTCTTCTCGGATAGCAGTAATTAGAAGTTAATGTCCTTAAGTTTCTTTAAATATTTTACCAGTTTAGTAGAGGTGGTAACTTAACGCCATTATATACTTAATGTATAGTATTAATTAACTTTTTAGTTAATAGAGTTACTAGAGGCTCAAAAAATATTTTTAAAAGCACTAGACTTCATATGATTTTATAGGGATTTAATTTTCTAGATCAGTATTTTACATATTTGCCTAATCATTTTAAATTTTTAAAAACTGTACCTGCTTTTGACTAAATTGTATATTCTGGAATATTACTATCTATCTATCTATATTAAATGTATATGGGCTCATTATCCAAACTAATATTTTTATCAAATAAAATATTTTTAATCAACAACAGATTTAAACACCATCAAATTAAATGTATATAATTTATGTACTTTTATTGACATCAGTAGGTACCTACTTAAAACAAGTACTTTTATTAAAATATCTAAATGCATCCTCCTGTTTAATATTTAATAAATGTGTACAGGAATATTCTGATTTTGATTTTGCTTACCCAAACATTCTCACATCTACTCTAAGAAGATATAATTTTGTTTATAAAAAGTAATTATGAAGGAATTCCTTTAAAACAAATAAAAGCAGTCATGACTGCTCATGTAGCAAGACAAATGATGTGGGAATTTTCCCACATGGAAGACATGCGTGAACGACAAAATGAGGAGAAAAAATGCGCCAAAAAGAGGCTGAGCTAAGAAAATTACAAAAATAGTTATTTACATTACCAGATGCGAAAGTTTACTTTTAGGTGCTAGGTGTTTTTGAATGGCCGAGGCGAAGCGTGGCGTAGCCGAGGCCGAAAGGCTTTCGCATCGTGTAATGTATTAAACTTTTCATTCTTTCCCGACATACAACCCTAAAGGAAGATATTCAGTGACAATATTTATTATAACAAATGTCGAACACCGCAATATTTGGTTGTAAATTAGATAAAAATGATTTCAATTGAAGAAGCCTTAAATATTGCGTGCAGACAAATCCAAATACAAGTCCGGTACCAACAAGTTTACAAACGTGTGCAACAAATGATGTTTCCATAATAAAAAATCAAAGACATTGTCTTCTGCTACATTATGGTCTGAATACTCCATGCTGAAATCTACTATTTCTATATAGACAGGACATATCAAAATGTAACCGCTTAAAGACATTTTTTAAGAGAAAAAATGATTGACACAAAAGTGTTTCAAAGCTGGCAACACTCGCGGCTATATCTTAAACCTAATCTCACAATGGATTGTGCCTAATCTGACACTCTACTAGCGTTGAAACGGTAGTGGGGTGGGCGGTGATGAGTGGGACTATTCGGAAATGGTTTACTTGCACATATTTAGTTTGCAGCAAATATTATTTATGAAATAAAATAGAGTATGAATCATTAATAATTATTATGAAATAAAGTCGAGTATGAATAATTAATAATTATTTACATAATGTATTATTTATCATACAGCATATTTAACCTGTCTAGGTTAATAATACAGTCCAATAAAATAAGTAGTAAAAATAGACCTGGATAATCTAAGGTATCTAACCCAACCCAACTATTTTTTATCGCCAACATATGCTTTTATCCGCCAACATCTGCTTTTATCCGCGACCATCTGCTTTCATCCGCGAACATCTGCAGTCACCCGCGAACAACTGCTTTCATCCGCGAACATCTGCTTTTATCCGCGAACATCTCATTTTATCCGCGAACATCTGCAATCATCCGCGAACATCTGCTTTTATCCGCAAACATCTCATTTTATCCGCGAACATCTGCTTTCATCCGCAAACATTTGCTTTTATCTGCAAACATCTGATTTTATCCGCAAATATCTGCTTTTATCCGCGAACATCTGCTTTTATCCGCAAACATCTCATTTTATCCGCGAACATCTGCTTTTATCCGCAAACATCTGCTTTCATCCCCAAATATTTGCTTTTATCCGCAAACATCTCATTTTATCCGCGAACATCTGGTTTCATACGGTTTCACCTGTAAACATGCTTTTATCTGCGAACGCCTTATTTCATCCGGTTAGTGCACCTCCGCAAACATCTGCCTTTATCCGCAAACATCTGATTTTATCTGCAAACATCTGCTTTTATCCGCAAACATCTGATTTTATCCACAAACAACTGATTTTATTCGCAAACATCTGATTTTATCCGCAAACACCTGCTTTTATCCGCAAACATCTGTTTTAATCTCCAAACATCTGATTTTATCCGCAAACATCTGCTTTTATCCGCAAACATCTGATTTTATCCGCAAACATCTATTTTAATCTGCAAACATCTGCTTTTATCCGCAAACATCTGATTTTATCCGCAAACATATGCTTTTATCCGCAAACATCTGATTTTATCCGCAAACAGACATTTGCAGATTAAAATCAGATGTTTGCGGATTAAAACAGATGTTTGTGGATAAAATCAGATGTTTGCGGATAAAAGCAGATGTTTGCGGATAAAATCAGATGTTTGCGTATAAAATCAGATGTTTGCGGATAAAAGCAGATGTTTGAAGATTAAAACAGATGTTTGCGGATAAAAGCAGATGTTTGCGGATAAAACCAGATGTTTGCGAAAAAAATCAGTTGTTTGTGGATAAAATCAGATGTTTGCGGATAAAAGTAGATGTTTTCGGATAAAATCAGATGTTTGCCTATAAAATCAGATGTTTGCGTATAAAATCAGATGTTTGCGTATAAACTCAGATGTTTGCGGATAAAAGAAGATGTTTGCGGATAAAAGCAGATGTTTTTAGATAAAATCAGATGTTTGCGGATAAAATCAGATGTTTCGGATAAAATCAGGTTTGCGGATAAAAGCAGATGTTTGCGGATAAAATCAGATGTTTGCGTATAAAATCAGATGTTTTCGGATAAAATCAGATGTTTGCGGATAAAATCAGATGTTCGCGGATAAAACCAGATGTTTACGGATAAATGCAGATGTTTGCGGATAACATCAGATGTTTGCAGATAAAATCAGATGTTTGCGGATAAAAGCAGATATTTGCAGATTAAAATAGATGTTTGCGGATAAAAGCAGATGTTTGGAGATTAAAACAGATGTTTGCGGATAAAAGCAGATGTTTGCAGGTGAAATCTTATGAATCAGACTTTTGCGGACTAAATGAGATGTTTGCGGATTAAAACAGATGTTTGTGGATTAAAATAGATGTTCGCGGATGAAAGTAGATCTTCACGTATAAAAGCAGATGTTTGCAGGTGAAATCGGATAAAGCAGACGTTTGCGGATTAAAGTAGATGTTTGCGGATAAAATCAGATAAAACCGGGTGAATGCAGATATAAACTCAAATACAGGTATTTGCGGATGAAAACAGATAAAAGATAAGATATGTCGGATAAAAACAGATATAAATGGACATAAAACTAGCTTGGTTTTTTATCCGCAATTATCCGATATTACCCGTCTTTTTCAACAGGGTAAATTGTTTTTTGCGTCATTCTATTAAAAATTGGAAGGTTTTACAAGAATGGCGCAAAAAACAATTTAGTTACAATAAATTGAAATTTTTAATAGTGTTTTTCTCCAAACCAGCGAAATAATACGGCAAATCGACAAATTTCCCCTTAAAAAAGAAAACAAGGTCATGTATCCAAAATATAGTAAATAAGCAAAATATGCTTTGAATAAAATACCATTATTCAAAGAGAATATGTGTGTAAGTATGTGAAATTGTTCATATAGGTACTTACCTTAAGGTAATTGTGGTAAGTATATGAAATTGTTCTGGAAAACCTCATTATAATGTTGGATACAACTTTTTTAGATTAAACATTAAATTCAATAGTTAATTTGAAATTACTAATTTTCCTTGAAGCAAATGAGGTTTTGTCCTATAGTTTTTTTCTGATTGGTTTAATGTGTAACTTTGAATCAGGTTTGAAGGGATTAGGTAAAAATTATAATTTTTTTAATCAAAAATGTGATTTATTTACAAACTAATAAATACATTTAATAAAATAAAATGCAGTAGAAAAATAAAATCTTCATTTTATTTAAATTTATTATAATTCTTCATTACTTTCTTTCCAGGCACTAAACCCTGGGTCAGTCCAGGCCTCCTTCTTTTTTGATTTAATAAAACCGATTCTTCTTTTATTTTCTCAATTTCATTTGAACTTGGTTGTGGTAGATTCTGGTGTTGACAAACTACCACATGCTGGACTTGCTTTTCAGACTCTAGTTGTTCTTTGGATTTTTGAATATCAGAATCGTGAGCAAATTTGCAATTATGGCCAAATCTGCATCTCCCTTTTCGATAATTCCAACATATTTTTTTACCTACAATGATAACCTTAATAAAAAAAAAAAATAAATATATATATTTACCATTAATAACTATAACATTGTCCTTCGAATCCACCATTTTCACATGCTTCTGTAAAATAGCCTCTTTGGCATTTTCAGCTTCAGTAAAAGGGTTTTTGAAAACTGAATTTTGAGCAGCATCTTTGGAGTCTTCACCAAAATTAGGTTTTGGCAAAAAAGCTTTTGGTATGGGTTTTACATTTTTTTCTTCTGTTACACTAAAACAAATGACAGCTGACCCATTTTTTGTAAAGGTGGTGAGTTTGAACTAATTGATTTCAAGAAGTTTTAAATCAATTCGCTTTGGATTAACCTTTACATAAAATAAATTTAAAACAAGTAACAAGTAACACTAGTACTGCCCTACTATGGAGAAAGGCAGTAAAATTCTAGATGCGTTTTCTTGTGCTATGATAAAGCTATGGACATTTTGTAACCGAATTCAACAAAGAAATGCAGTAAACATAAGTTAAATAAATCAATAAAATACCTACTGCTTTTTATAAAAATGTAGTTTATGCTAATTTTCCACAAATTTCTTGTTTAGCAGTTACTGCCTTTCTCCTAATTGGGAAGAGTACCTAATAGTATTAGGCTAATACTTTAAAATTTGGGAATAAATTGCGTACCTTGTTTCACTATCAGACTCGCTGCTATCTGATGAGGAACTTGAGCTAGACTCTCCGTAATCCGGAACCAACGACATTGTATCAAATATATTTTTATTTAAAATAACGTAAACTCGCTTTAAAATCGGTAATATCAAAAATATTAACTTATTACAAAAAATTGAGGTTAGTTAAGAAATGTCAAATCGATAATTCATACAGTGTTGCCAGATTGAGCAAAACAAAATATCGTACTGACGGCTGTGAATTGACCATATGCAAGGAATGCGGTCGATGTTGCCAATGGTAAAAAAATAAAATTCCCTGTTGGGAACATTCAATTATATTACGTTGGCTACATTGAAAATTTGAATTTCCCGCACAAACTAAATTAATTTCCATGTTTTTTTTAATAATAATAAATAATATTAATTCCCACATTTGAAATTCGCACCTTAATTTATTATACAACATTGGAACTACCTTCTTTATCTCTGGGAACTACTAGAATGTATGTCAGTTTCTGCGGGAAATTCAAAATTTCAGTGTAGCCAACGTAATATAATTGAATGTTCCCAATAGGGAATTTTATTTTTTTACCATTGGCAACATCGACCGCATTCCTTGCATATGGTCAATTATCGTATTTAATCGTACACTTTATCGTTTTCTAATATTTTTTATCGTATTTTTATTGAAATTAAATAAATAAAATATTAAGGAAATAAGTAAAATAACTAAAATACATAAAAGTTTTAAATAAAAACAGATTACTTAGATAGGTATTTACCAGTGGCGGCTCGTGGGTGTACAGGAGGGTGAGGCTACATAAGGTTAATTTTGTCTAAATACGAATAAATTTCCACGTCACCCGGGAGGTATTATTCTGCGACGCGTTGACCTTTTTTAAAATGGAGCCGATAGCACTACTAAACCAAAAAATAAACTCTTAAAAACAAAACAAACAAAAATATCACATCTTTAAAGACAAGTTTTAATCCTAAACTTAAAAATATAGTCTTAAAAAAGTTAAAAATAAATAAATTAATCAAAAAATAAAAATAAAACTAAAAAGTCGACCCCTACCTAAGTATTAAAAAATATAAAATACTATACGTCTATCTTTTAAGATTGAAAATTTATCTATTATTTGGTCGTAAAATTGTGGGTCTGCAGTGAGATTTAAAAGTAATTCTAAATTTTCAAACCGCGTCTCTAATTGAAGAATTATGCAATCTATTATTTCAAAATATAAAATTTGCTTAATAAAAACTGCTAAATCTACCTTAGTGTGTTCCCTACAATAATTAAATAAGAAATTTTACTAATCGAGACAAAACTATAAAAGATCAGCCAAAAGTTTTATTTAATCTGAATCAAAACAATAACGTGCTCTACAAACGCTAAGAGAAGACTGGCAACCTTCTTTGTCTCCGCTGGCATCCCACCATAAACGGACCACCAATCAGAACAAACCAAGCTAACTAAATATCGCCTCATCTACGGTGTTTATTCGCGAACTTACGGCGATATTTTTGTTGGTGAGTCATTTTCGCTTTCAAGAGGTAAATGGGAGCTTCCGAGGCTGTGAAAATTTCGCCTCTGTCTGGCGTCTCAACGATGCACGTTAACTTGACGCGCTTTGCGCCTGGATTTTTATTTACGCTTAATATGATTGATTGGTTTTTTACTTTTTATTGGGTAGAACTGTTGTAAAAATACACTTGTAATAGGCAAAAATATAAATACAAAAAGTCGTTCGTTCCTTCATTTTAAGGGTGAGGCGCGGCCTCAGAGGCCTATAGGGTATACCCTGACGAGCCGCCACTGCTAGGCTGGAAATTGATGCAACCGTCCTCCAAATTTATTTTCTGAGACGATAGCAAGATTCAATTCAACATACTTGTCAGCAATTTGTTCCTCAACAATTAATTAATTTTTTGTATTACACCGCGGTGTTTCGCCCTCGGAACTCGACAACTTAATAGTTCAAGAGTGAACTCAGTGAAGTTGTAAAATTGACAAAAGTGTATCGTTCACCGCCCGCTATCGCACACATCATTATTACCCTCTCACTATCAAGCTAGCTTCATAGTAGTCCAATTCGGGGAATTACAGAGCCTCGATTATTATAAAAGCTCAAACAAGTCAAACCTACTTACTCGTACCTACTTACATTGTTTTCAAAATTAAATTCGGTATTTGTGAAACTAAACTCAAATCAACATTAAAATAAGTGCTTTCTTAAAATTAGCGCAAACGTCAGCCCAATGTGTGAATTATCGTATATTTTAGCATTATCGTACACATGGTATCGTACATCGTACTTATGGGAGATTTATCGTACAAATACGATAATTATCGTACATCTGGCAACACTGTCAGTGTTGCCAGATTGAGCAAAACAAAATATCGTACTGACGGCTGTGAATTATCGTATTTAATCGTACACTTTATCGTTTCCTAATATTTTTTATCGTATTTTTATTGAAATTAAATAAATAAAACATTAAGGAAATAAGTAAAATAACTAAAATACATAAAAGTTTGAAATAAAAACAGATTACTTAGATACCCATACAGCACGTCCAATTTGAATTACGTCTCTACAAGATATACACGTGAGAAACAGATGATGTTAAGGTGGATCTAATTGTTGATCCAGTACTGACGTACACATATGAGATACACCTATGTTTATATTAACAGAATTATGTGATACAATGTTTATTAATTGTATACCGTATGCACTTAAGATTCTAAACATTTTTATATAGCGTAAAAATGGATCATTAGAATTATAAAATTTGACGTCCGTACAAGATGCCTACAAGGTTTAAGTCATATGTATGTGTGATGCTTAATGTAATATTTGTGCTTACTGCATACACTACGAAAAAGTGCTATATATACACATGGTACTAAGAATTACATATACACTATTTAGTTGTGCCTTGTTGTTTCTACATTCGACGATTCGAGCATTTAAAACAGTGCGCGCGCAAAGCGTCAGCGTGAGAATACCGACCATGTGTATCTTATGTGTCAATTTTTATTGAAGTGTGTGTGTTTCAGAGATATATCTTTGGTGTCTGTGCATTTTAAAAAGGATTTTAAGGTAGGAATAGGAATTCTTTAATATTTACTTATTATTACTATAGGCCCTACAATAGTAACTTGTTTGGACGTAATAATACAAATGGACTACATAAAGAAGGTTTCAAACAATTTAAGGAACTCCTTACTGCAACATTTGGTAAGTTATCGATGGCTGACAATGTATTTCTATAATATATAAATTATACCTATATAATTATATATAATATATATTTGCCTTTTTACTGTGTAATGTATATTTCAGTTTTTAATATATTTTAATCTTCTTGTAAAAGTTCTGTCATTTTCCTGTGTTTTTCTACTTCTGTTTTTGTGGCACCAATTAAAAGCATTCCATAATAGTAAGTATATATTATAAGATATGAAACGAAAAAAATAACAATTTTAAAGCAACTTTAATGAGTACTTCAGGAAAATAAAAGTTTCGCCGTCCGACCTATCATTCTCAAAAAAACATAATATTAATGAATTTAAAAAAATACCTGTTTTGAGAACGAAAAGTCAAGCGGCAAAACTTATTTTCCTAAAGTAGCTCATCAAAAGTATTTTTGGACAGGGTGTATACACGGGGCGACAGAGCTACATATACAAAGAATAGTATATTTACGTTCAATTCGAGTGAGACAAATGCCATGTGTAAGCAGAGTTTAAGCACAATACACAGCTACTGTGCATCCGATAACACACCGTGGATCACATACTTTGTGTATATGTTAATGTGGTATTGTGGCTACATTGTGAGGCGGACGTTTAACCATTGTGCATACGTGTGTGTATACCATGTGTAAACGTAGCACGTTTACATCGTAGAATTGTGTAACCCTGTGTCTGCATCTAGATACATCGTCACAATGCGAACACATCGTAATTGTGATTTGGTGTGCTGTATGGGTAGGTATTTACTCAGCTTCAAATAAGATGTCTTCTTCATTAATTTCATTAATTCCAGCCGAAGTTGCACCTGTGGCAGCACTGCCTGCAGCTTCGGCTGTAACTTTCTTGACATATAAATTTGCTGATGTCATCATTTGCAGTATTTTTTTGCTAGGCTGGAAATTGATGCAACCGTCCTCCAAATTTATTTTCTGAGACGATAGCAAGATTCCATTCAACGTACCTACTTGTCAGCAATTTGTTCCTCAACAATTAATTAGTTTTTTGTATTCAGGTGTTGAACACCGCGGTGTTTCGCCCTCGGAACTCGACATATCACCACCAGGTTTAAACTTTAAAGCGCCAGAACAACTTAATAGTTCAAGAGTGAAGTTGTAAAATTTACAAAAGTGTATCGTTCACCGCCCGCTATCGCAGACATCATTATTACCCTCTCACTAGTCAAACCTACTTACTCGTACCTATAGAATTTAATTTTGAAAACAATGTAAGTATACTTACATTGTTTTCAAAATTAAATTCGGTATTTGTGAAACTAAACTCAAATCAACATTAAAATAAGTTCTTTCTTAAAATTAGCGCAAACGTCAGCCCAATGTGTGAATTATCGTATATTTTAGCATTATCGTACACATGGTATCGTACATCGTACTTATGGGAGATTTATCGTACAAATACGATAATTATCGTACATCTGGCAACACTGATTGAAAGGAATGTTATTTTCATCGAAATGACTAAACATTTCTACCCATTTTTGATCTGTGGGAGTTTTTTGCTCAGTCCAAAAAATAAGTTTAATCTCAGAAACATAATTATGAACATATTGAGTCTCATCAAATAAATCATTTTAAACTATGGTGCATTTGGGGAATTTTAGAAGAAACTCAAAATTTTTTTGTACTTGTTTCCATGTCGGAGCTTTTTTACTACTGTACTGGCTTAAATATTCTAAACCATTAGAGTAAAAGTTAATAGTCCGAATTTATTGAAAGCGGGACCCTTAGCTCAGAATCGGGACTGTCCCGCCTAAATCGGGACGGATGGTCACTTTAGTCTATGATATCATATATTTTAAATCCCCCACTTAAGTAATTATGAACTGACTATGCGCATAAAGGAAAATGGCACACTACGAGAACAAATTTCCCCTTAGAAACGGGAACAAGGTCATCTATACAAAATATAGGCAATAAGCGGTATATGTGTGGAAGTATGTGCGATAATTAAAAATTATCGCCATCTATGCAAATATGTTATAACTAACCCATAGATAAAAGAGGAACTAATCACATCAAGTTGGAAGCGTTGATAGAGAAATTGTGTTTTCACTCAACGCACTGTGCAGGGTGTCCACCCTGGCACTGTGAATCAATGCTTGAAAGAATGATACAACAAAACATGCTATAGGTACGTATAACCAACAGAAAGTGGTGACTATTATGAGCATACGTTAATTTCCCAACGTGCCGAGCCAATCAGAATGCGACGGAAATTTTGGGGGCGTGCCGCTTGTACCTCCAGATTTAAATTGTGAATTGACCGTTTTATCGTTGAGTTAATCAATGGTTTTATCATAATATTATTATGTGTCTTTGTTGTTTATACAGAGTGTTTTTATTTAAAATAGACAATCTATAACACTTTTTTCAAATATATATTTTTAGTTTGAACTTTTATTTAATATTGGGAGATTTTTCGCCAATGGGGTAAGTTTTTAAGGTTTTCTTTAAATCCTTTTACTTTTTAATTTCTAGCTTTAATTGGAAACGATGGAGTTGAATCTACCAAGGATGGTTTTATCATAATATTATTATGTGTCTTTGTTGTTTATACAGGGTGTTTTTATTTAAAATAGACAATCTATAACACTTTTTTCAAATATATATTTTTAGTTTGAACTTTTATTTAACATTGGGAGATTTTTCGCCAATGGGGTAAGTTTTTAAGGTTTTCTTTAAATCCTTTTACTTTTTAATTTATAGCTTTAATTGGAAACGATGGAGTTGAATCTGCCAACCCTGCTGAAAATGACGGATGATTGCGGATATAAATTCTTCGTTAAAACCGGATAAAAGCAGATGATTGCGGGTATAAATTCTTCGTCGAAGCCGGATAAAAGCAGATAAAAGCGGGTAAAAATATCATCTGATAACATCTGCTTTTGTCCGCATCGCTATATCCGCGAACACCCGGTTGGTTGTGTTTTATGTCCGGTTAGTGCACCCCCGCAATCATCTGCAATCATCTGTTTTTAACCGTCTTCACTGTGTTTCGTTTATATCTGAATTTGTCCGGAATCATCTGCAAACTTCTGCTTACGTCTGTTTTTATCCGCGATTACCTGCATTTTTTTTCGTCTATTTTTGTCGCGTTTTATCTGCAAACGTCTGGTTTTATCCGCGAGCATATGCTTTTACCCGCGAACATCTGCAATCATCCACGAACATCTGCTTTCATCCGCGAACATCTGATTTTATCTGCTAACATCTGCCTTTATCCGCGAACATCTGCTTTCATCCGCGAACATCTGCAGTCACCCGCGAACAACTGCTTTTATCCGCGAACATCTGCAATCACCCGCGAACATCTGCTTTCATCCGCAAACGTCTAGTTTTATCCGCAAACATCTGTTTTCATACGGTTTCACCCACAAACATGCTTTTATCTGCGAACGCCTGATTTCATCCGGTTAGTGCACCCCCGCAATCATCTGCTTTTATCCGCGAACATCTGCAATCACCCGCGAACATCTGCTTTCATCCGCGAACATCTCATTTTATCCGCGAACATCTGCTTTTATCCGCAAACATCTGCTTTTATCCGCGAACATCTGCAGTCACCCGCGAACAACTGCTTTTATCCGCAAACATCTGCTTTCATCCGCGAACATCTGCTTTTATCCGCGAACATCTCATTTTATCCGCGAACATCTGCAATCATCCGCGAACATCTGCTTTCATCCGCGAACATCTGCTTTCATCCGCGAACATCTGATTTCATCCGCGAACATCTGCAGTCACCCGCGAACAACTGCTTTTATCCGCGAACATCTGCAATCACCCGCGAACATCTGCAATCACCCGCAAACATCTACTTTTATCCGCAAACATCTGCTTTCATCCGCGAACATCTGCTTTTATCCGCGAACATCTCATTTTATCCGCGAACATCTGCAATCATCCGCGAACATCTGCTTTTATCCGCAAACATCTCAATTTATCCGCGAACATCTGCTTTTATCCGCAAACATTTGCTTTCATCCCCAAACATTTGCTTTTATCTGCAAACATCTGATTTTATCCGCAAATATCTGCTTTTATCCGCGAACATCTGCTTTTATCCGCAAACATCTCAATTTATCCGCGAACATCTGCTTTTATCCGCAAACATCTGCTTTCATCCCCAAACATTTGATTTTATCTGCAAACATCTGATTTTATCCGCAAATATCTGCTTTTATCTGCGAACATCTGCTTTTATCCGCAAACATCTCATTTTATCCGCGAACATCTGCTTTTATCCGCAAACATCTGCTTTCATCCCCAAACATTTGCTTTTATCCGCAAACATCTGGTTTCATACGGTTTCACCCGTAAACATGCTTTTATCTGCGAACGCCTTATTTCATCCGGTTAGTGCACCCCCGCAAACATCTGCCTTTATCCGCAAACATCTGATTTTATTTGCAAACATCTTCTTTTATCCGCAAACATCTGTTTTAATCTCCAAACATCTGCCTTTATCCGCAAACATCTGATTTTATTTGCAAACATCTTCTTTTATCCGCAAACATCTGATTTTACCCACAAACAACTGATTTTATTCGCAAACATCTGATTTTATCCGCAAGCATCTGCTTTTATCCGCAAACATCTGATTTTATCCGCAAACATCTGATTTTAATCGCAAACATCTGATTTTATCCGCAAACATCTGCATTTATCCGCAAATATCTGCTTTTATCCGCGAACATCTCCAAACATCTGCTTTTAATTGCAAATCTCTGCTTTCATCCGCGTTCGGTTTGCCTGTATTTCCTTTGTCCATTTCGGTCCTGTTGGGTACACAAACGTTTCATTCGCACTTTTTGTTTTCCTTTTTCTCGTGTATACTTTAGTTAAGTTTACCTGCTTTGTCAAATTTTACTGAGCTTTAACTAACTGGTTGTTAGCCGTTCACGGCACACAACTTTATAACTCTAAAAAGAATTATTTGAATAAAAACAACCTGTAAAGAGAATAAGTTTATTCAACATGACATTTTCCCAATGGGAGAATAATTTAATTATATTCACCAGATTTAAATTTAAAAATCAGGTATACTATAGGGAAGAAAATAGAAGAAATAATAAGTCTATTAATTCGTACATATATATTAAAAATATTGGTTATGCCAAAATTAAAAAGTTTTTAAAGTTAGATGAAAAATTCTACGCCTAAATAAGTGTTTTTCAAACAAATTCCATACAAATTGAAGATGTTATAATTCCAAATGTATTTGAAATTAAACATATATGTTTTCTAACAATTAATTTAAATGTAAGCTTAATGATTAAAAAATATCTATTTATGTCCTTAAAGTATACACGAGAAAAAGGAAAACAAAAAGAGCGAATGAAACCAGACGTTTGCGTACGAAACAGGACCGAAATGGACAAAGGAAATGCAGACAAACCGAACGCGGATAAGAGGTTTGCAGTTAAAAGCAGATGTTTGCAGATGTTCGCAGATATTTGCGGATAAATGCAGATGTTTGCGGATAAAATCAGATGCTTGCGATTAAAATCGGATGTTTGCGGATAAAATCAGATGTTTGCGGATAAAAGCAATGTTTTCGGATAAAATCAGATGTTTGCGGATAAAATCAGATGTTTGCGGATAAAAGCAGATGTTTGGGGATAAATTCAGATGTTTGCGTATAAAATCAGATGTTTGCAGATAAAATCAGATGTTCGCGGATAAAACCAGATGTTTACGAATAAATGCAGATGTTTGCGGATAACATCAGATGTTTGCAGATAAAATCAGATGTTTGCGGATAAAAGCAGATGTTTGCAGGTGAAATCTTATGAATCAGACTTTTGCGGACTAAATGAGATGTTTGCGGATTAAAACAGATGTTTGTGGATTAAAATAGATGTTCGCGGATGAAAGTAGATCTTCACGTATAAAAGCAGATGTTTGCAGGTGAAATCGGATAAAGCAGACGTTTGCGGATTAAAGTAGATGTTTGCGGATAAAATCAGATAAAACCGGGTGAATGCAGATATAAACTCAAATACAGGTATTTGCGGATGAAAACAGATAAAAGCAGACATAGATCTAAATAGATAAAACCCGACGTTCGCGGATAATATTTATACCCGCAATTGCAGATAAAAACCGACATGCCGGGTAAAATCAGATATGTCGGATAGAAACAGATATAAATGGACATAAAACTAGCTTGGTTTTTTATCCACAATCATCCGATATTACCCGTCTTTTTCAGCAGGGTAAGCAAAAGGTTTGATTTGGAAATATTTGCTGTGGACACTTTAATAATAACTCAATACACTTCAATTAATGTCAAAAAATAGCACAAGAATAAAAATCAGGCGTAGCAAAAATCCAACGGATTTTGTTAAAAAGTATTTTTTCGCGAAACATCCGATTCGAAACGAAGCGCCATTCGGTTCAGAATGATTATGATTGGCTCGGCACGTTGGGAACGTATACTCTCTAAAAATGAAACAGTGGATTTTCACTGATTGACAGTGCATATTAACTATTTGCCGCAGTGATAAGTATACCACTAGCAATTAGTGAATACTCACTTTTTCATGTAGCGAGTTCCGGAAAAGTAGTGATAATAAAAAACACTAATTTGGAGAAGTTAAAATTTCACTAATTTATATTGAAAAACACTAATTTTACAGTGAATTAATAACTCAGTGACGGAAATAGTGAAAATTTCACTGTTTCACTTTTAGAGAGTAGGTATGCTCTATTATGGGCTATCTACAATAATACAAATATTTAAAAACGAAAAAAAATTTGTATTTACAAAATATACATTTTATTACAATTAAATAGAAAAAACACCTTCATCACTAATTAATATTTCTGCTTCAACAATTTTAGGCATAATTAAACTATCAGTAACAAATATTTTTACCCGGCTATCAGTAAACTTTTCAAAAGTTAATTTAACATTGGGAATTGTTTGCCAGAATTTTCCACAACTTATCTTTTTTTGCATAATATCATGCGTATCAAACCCGTTAGATTCGCGCCACAGGGTCATCAAATTGGTAACAATAAAAACAACATTTAAATTAGACGCCATGTAATGCATAATGTTGGCGCAATGAGTCAAAACGTTATTTTTCACGGTGCTATCATTGGAATCCATAAATAATATCGCTAAAGAATCTATTATAATCACGCGAACATGTAGACCATTTTCTAATTCGTTTTTTATTTCAAATAAGCTGTTGAGCAAGTTCATTTTTTCCTCCAAACGTTTTACCAAGACATTTTTCAGCGATTCTGTATGATGATTCTAAAATATTTTAATATTTAAATCGTAAGAACAAAATATATATACAGTATGTCCCGGGATGGGGTTGCAAATAGGAAAAACTTTTTTATTTCGCGTTTTACAAAAAAAAGTCATTCTTCATAAAAACCCTGCTTATTTAAAAAATGACATCCCCATCAAAAAATTTTGTATCAAACGTACGGGGTGCTCAGAAATGAGAAAAACATGAAAATTCTTCACTTCACTTCACTTCAGAGACTTCTCTTTATGTATTATTTTATTGAAAAATTTTATAAAAGAAAGTCGATTACAATTCAAATTAAAGTCTAAATACAAAATATATTTTTATTATTTAAAAATTTATTTTTTTTAATAAAAAATTGTATCTTGTTTTTATAAAAAAATTAATTTATTTTATTAAAAGTTTTATAAGTGAAGGTCCATGAAACTTCAATTTAAGTTAAATTAAATTCTAAATACAAAACAAACAAAAAATTATTAAAATATTATGAAAAAAAAATTCATAAAATTAAAATATATTTTTTTTTAGTTTGTATTTAGATTTTAATTTGAATTGTAGTCAAATTTCTTTTATAAAATAATTTATAAAGGTAGGTAGGTACTTCTCTCTTGAACAATTTTCATGTTTTCTAATTTTTGAGCACCCCGTACATTTAATTCAAAAATTTTTGAAGGTGATGTCATTTTTTAAATAAGCAGGGGTTTTTATGAAGAATGACTTATTTCTGTAAAACGCGTAATAAATAGTATATTACACTACAAGGGCAGAAAGTGTGAGATTCCTGCGCTTCGCCTCGGGCATCATGGCGCGCAGTTCAGGGCTCTCACACTTTCTGCCCGTGTAGTGTATACTATTTTTCTTGCTACCCCGCAGAAAATACGGGAAAAAATTAAATGTATATAAAAAAACTTGTGTCAAAATTAAAATCTGACGTTTAATTTAATTCTGACGTTTACATTCAAAATCAATCAAACTGTAGCGTTGTCATGGTAATTCAGCGGTGCCAATACAGTAAAAATAAAAGGTTGTATTTTAATTAACAAATTACTACTTTATAACAAATAAAAGTACCATTAAACACTTAAAACAACATAAAAAGTAAAAAAGTAAAAACATAAATTGTTTATTTGTTGTTATAATTGCAAAATTATGGTTTAAAACTGTCATATTTTTGTGTTTCTCATGTTGGCAGTACGAAATTTGAATGTTAAGCACACGACTAAAAAATTTTTACTCCCGCTATTAAGCTGGGTCCACATTAGTAAAAAATTACGTTGTATGTCGAATTCACAATGCGGCACAAATTTTTGCGCCGGAAATGTGCTATAAATGTTGCATAAATATTTACGCTGTGCAACGTGCGTTCTTGCTCAAAACGTGTGTGAGTTGTTTGAGGTTAGGTTTTTGTTTGATTTTATTTTAATAGTTTATTCGTCAATTAACAGCCTAGACAAAGATTCTAGGTCTAGGATTAACAGTTTAATAAGTTTAATAGTTTATTACAATGAATTTAAACAAAGACGACGTTCTTCTTTTAATACAAGAATATGAAAAACATAGACTTTTATGGGATCCAAAGGATAAGTGGCATTTTAATAAAAATAAAAAAAATGATGCTTGGGACGATATTGCAAAATGCGTCGAAATAGATGTGGAGGACGCAAAAAAGAAAATATCGAGCCTTTTGGGTTCATTTAGGAGGAAAAAGTCGAAAGCTCGTAAAACTATTATTGCAGACATAGTACAACCATTGAGTAAGGTGGATCTTACTCAATGGTTCAACACAGATCATATAAACGTTGGAATTAAATTTAATAAAAAATAATTTGACAGAATCAATGTGTTCACGAAAAGTACCTACGTCCACACTAGAACAATGTGCGGCGCAAATTTCTTTGATGTTTTGAGAAAAACCGACAAGCAACGGATCTCGTGCGTTGAATGTGGCAAAAATTTTTGCGTACGTAGTTATGCGGCACACAGGTACACACTTACATAAATTTTTACGGCACATAAATATTTGTGTCGAATGCCACGCACGACGTAAATTTTTACTAATGTGGACCCAGCTTTAGAGTGTGCGCGTATAGCTTGACCAATGCAAGAAACGTAAACTGTCTGCCGTGAAATCGGGGACGAAACAACGTATTTTGAGTCGAGGTAGTAAGAAAAAAGTTTTTCCTATTGGCAACCCCATCCGGGGACATACTGTATATATATATATATACAAGGTTCCAAAATTATAATTATAATTAATTCAGAAATTCATATGCATTCTATGCATAGATTAATATAGATTAATTAATTTAAGACATACTAACTAATGCACAAAATGAAACAATTTGCAACTGTCACAGTGACAGTTGCTATCTAACCCTACTTGTTAACAAAACAACCTTGAACTTCACACGCGTATACGCGCCTTTGGGTTAAACCAGTTTGACAGATGTCAGATTGGGAAAATGTGAGGTTAACAGTTGTCAAATGTATAAAATCAAGCCTTGAAGCGGAACGAGTTTTTAATAAACGAGCGATCTCACACTTGTGTAGTTTATAAAACTATTATTATTATTAAAACTATTAAACTATTAATGATTAATTGCTTACCATCCCAAGCAGCATTTTTTGTTCCAAAAACCATTGCCAAAGTGGTGATAACTTTAAATTAGTTAAGTACCTATACTAAACAGCTACTTTAATTTTTACTTAAAAGTAATTTTAACTTTTAAATAGCAATATTTTGTAACAGAAACTTAATTTTTCCTTAAATGGTTACTATAAAGTAATAAACATTTAAGTAAAACTTGGTGGCCCCCAAGAAGACTTTGCAACTTTAAAAAAGGTGTTATAAGTAAAAAAAACTTTCAAGTAAATTTAATTTGTAGCAGTTACTTTCGGTTGCTACCTAAAGATTACATTATAATTATTTTTACTTTGTAGTCCCTTTGCAATTTAAAATCTCGAAACTGGAACATGAGTTAAAAACTACAAAGTTAATAACTTAAAAGTTATTATTTTAGTATTTGGAACGTTTATGGTACTAACCAAAACCACCGTAAAGTGAAAAAAACTTTAAAGTAGCGAAAACTACTTCAAAGGAAAATGCTTCTTATCGGCCATTTTTTACTGTACAGTACCACGTGGTAAATTACCACTGGTAATGTAAATAATAAATTATTTTAATTGTTTGTAAATGGTTGTTTACTTTTTAATAAATAGTAATTTTGTTGGTAATAGTCGGTATTAATAATTAAATAAAAAAATTAATAATAAATATTAAGATTTTTTATTTTTAAACATTATTAAATAAATAATTTCTGTATACTTAAATATTGATGAAGCGCATTTATTTTACAAAAACTAAATTCATAAGTTCAACAGTAAAATTTAAAGGGTTTATAAATTTACCTGCCTAATTAAACATTATATTGATATTCTGGAAGTTATAAACTACCAGTACATAGGTATTTAATAAACGACGACATTGAAAAGCCAATTGGACTTAAGTCCGTAGTGGTTCCATTTAAAAAAGGAGGGATAGTATAATCTAATATAAGTTTGACAAAGACAGTTAATATAGAAGTAAAAACAAATAAATAAAAGTAATTATAACGCTCTGGCAACGATATTGGAACGTTCTAGTAACGTAGCAGCTACGTTCCAAATAGTAGCAGGGTTTATAGCTAGTGACATATTTGTTACCTTTTTGGAACTCAATAATTGTTCCCCACTTTAGTCGTAACTTAGTAACGAAAGAGTAATATAAAGAGACCGGCGACTGTCGCAAAACACTTTAAAGTTTCTTCAATAGTCCCATATACGTAACAAATTGTTGCTTAGTATATACTTTATTTACAACGCAAAGTAATGTTTTTTCTCTCCAGAATTTCATTTGAAATTTTATCTTTAACCCAAAGGCGCATACGCGTGTAAACGCCTGCATGCAAGAATTAATAACAATAATTAGTTTCGGATAGCCTGTACAAAATAAAGAATTTTGATATGGTGATTATATATACATATACGTACATATATATATATATATATATATATATATATATACCCACACGGAACAATTACATCCAATGGATATCCAATGGATTTCTTTTATGGATATCCAGGATATACATAGGATATCCGGGATATCCAATGGATAACCATTGGATATATAAATGTCCGACCCTCCTGGACATAGTGTGGATATCCAATGGATACCCAGTGGATATAGTATTGTATGCAATAAGGTTGTAATCTGTATTCAATATGGAGATTGTATGGATATCCAATGGATAACCATTGGATATATAAATGTCCGACCCTCCTGGACATAGTGTGGATATCCAATGGATACCCAGTGGATATAGTATTGTATGCATGTATGGATATGGTGAATCAATGGATATTTACTTTTCAATAAATAACATTGGGTTTTAAAATAAAAGTCTTATTCTTTAATTTAAATATTTATTTTTATGAAAACATAAAATAGAACAGAAAACTACATATAACTAAGAAGTGCTTGCCATCACTCCTCCAGCTGTCATTTGCCTTTTTATCAGCCTAATCATTTAGGGCCTATTTCACCTGTCTCCTTATGATCCCCAAAATTTGGCCAATCCATCAGCCCATTTGTTTAACATGGCACAATGACTAATGTACCATGCCCACCAACACTGACAGACAGACTGTTTCGACCTGTTGGGTCTCATCAGTGTCAGGCAGTTGGTGCCGAGAGACACGCTTCAAGCCAAGCAACCGCCCACCTATATACTAGTTGGGCGACCTGGACAGCGGCGAGATGCAGCGGCAAGGTAATATGGTGACATTTATCTTCTGTGTTCGCCGGCAGTGTTGTCAGACGTTTAAATAATTTCAGAAAGCTCATCAAAATGGCGGTTATATTATTAAATCTTTAATACTTAATTAATTAGTATACCTAGTATACCTATTTGACATAAATGTGGTGAATAATTATTTTAAATTTATTTAATTTATTTATTAAAACTTAATAAAGTACGGAAATATATTTCGTTTAGTTATTTTGCTTATAACCGGCAACACTGAAGATTCTCAAATTCAGCGCGTGCGTAGTACATATATGAAATACAATAATAAACAAAAAGGACTTTTTTAAGTAATTTTTTATTGTATTGCAGACTGTCATAGTCATATTATTAACAGAAATAATATTATTAATATATAAATATTATTATCTGGGTAAAGTGAACATTTCAAAATTAAAAATTTCGTAGCTCTTGGCAAAAAATCAATTTAACGTAAAGTCGTTTTTTTACATATGCTAGTTTAAACCATCACAAAATCCCACATGTATACATACAAGTATATATACAAGATATCCATATCAGTTATCCACCGGATATCCAGTGGATATCCAGTGGATATACATTAGATGTACAGTGGATATACTTTGGACATACATTAGTTATCCATTGGATATATATTAGAGATACTTTGTTGAAATTGGGTTAATAACGATTTAAATCATATTTATTAATCATTACATAAATTTATCCTATAAGGGGCTATTTTAAAAAAGAAAAAATATTTTTAATGTTTTTGTTTTTTTTTGAACATCCAGTATGGATATCCATTGGATATCCAATGGATATCGTAAAAGGCATGGATGTTATATGGACATTGGGATAGCCATTGGATATCCATTGGATAGCGTGTTCTGTGTGGGTATATGTATGTATATGGGGTATTCCATGCCAAATCCACCACTTTTGAACCCGACCCCTTTCGATCTGGCCAAAAGTTTTCCATTCTTTTCTACCCTTTGAAAAACATTTTTGAAAATTTTTTCAATTTTTTTTATCCAACCCCAAAAAAGTTTTAAATTTTTCAAAAAAATATGTAGTTTTTTAATTTTTAAATACCCATAACTTTTTCAAAAATTGACCTTTTGGTATCTTTTTTGTTTTTAAATGAATTTTTCGAAAAAATAGACAAAAAAATTTAACATGATCAACTCTATGAAATTATACCTTATGATCAGCTCTATGAAATTATCCCCTTTTTTTTTAATAAAATCGTTATTTTTGCAAAGTTCGCCATTTTTTATATTTTATTTTTTTTCTAAAAAAAAAACTTTAATTAATGTTACAATTATTCCCGCCAATCCCAAAGTGGGCAGATTTTTTTTCTATTTTTTTATTTAATTGAAAAAAATTGTCTAACTTTCAAAAATGCAATTTTTTTAAACTGTAATAAACATTAATCCTAGTCAGTTATATAATCGTAGCTTAATTAAGCCTATAAATTGAGAATATAATACCTTAAAATCGTTGAATTGCATTTATTTTATTATATAAATAAAGTTTGTGGAAAAAAAAATTCATTTTTGAAAAATAGACAATTTCTTTTTCAATTAAATAAAAAAATAGAAAATCCCACTCTGGGAAAATCGCACAATTAATAAAGATTTTACAGGGGTGTCCCAAACACTGTATACTATAGTTATTATTATAATAAAAGTAAAGTTATTATTATAATAAAAGTTAAAAAAAGCGTACCTACATTATTTAACATTTCCTTAAGTCGACTTGCAGAAAAATTATTTTTGCTGTCCAAAAAGTAAACTTTTTGGCTTAAATTTGTTATAACATGTTTTACAACTGCAAGGCAAAATATGGTTTTACCTGAAGCAGGCAAACCGTTAATTTCATAAATTTTTCCAGTGGTAAATCCACCCTCCAATAAATCGTCGACGCTGAAATTCGAAGTATTTTTTTAATAATTTTGTCCTTTTCAAGTAAATAAACTTACCATTTTATACCGGTTGATATGATGGCGGATTTTTTGATTAAATGTTTATAGCTAGACGAAGCCTTTATAGGCTTCGGAGATAATGTTTTTATCAAATCATTTTTAATTTGCAATATTTCCTAGAAAAATAAACTGGTAGCTAATTAAAGTAGATAAGAACAATTTATTTACCCTAAACGATAAGTTCGTGTGTTGTTCAATGTGTTTTGATTCTGCTGTTAAAAAGTCAATGACTGTGAATATTCGTAAAAAATTTAAAGAATTTGTTATGTTAGCGTCGAAAATCTCGTTAATTTCGGGCGATAACCGGCTCATGATAATTTCGCACTGTTATTTTGCGCCAAATTCGTGAATTTTCATAATTGTGCGTTTGAGCATGCGCGGTAGAGATGGCGCGCAAGCGCATGACCGCATCTCAGATCCAGGCGGCCGCTTGGGCGTTCGCGGATTGTGAAAGAGCCCGTCGCCATGTTTGGAAAGGGCGATGCGTCCATCGTGAACGCGTAAAATGTTTCAAATATTAGATATATTTTACAATTTTATTGTAACGTGGAATACCCAATTGTACACTGAAGAATAATATAAACGGTAGTGGTGTTTTTAAATGCGGATGACCAAGTTTCGCGTGAATAATTTGTGATTACATGATGGTAAGTTCGATCATTCGACTGCAAGATTTTAATATGGCGTCCAGAACGGGTTCTTTGTTACTTACTCGATACACGATCCAAGGTTATTTATAGTGTAGTGAGGTTCGTTATAACTGAAATTAACAGCGAATCGCTTTAAATAATTTTTTAGTTTAAAGATTTTTCTAAATTACTTTACACAATTCGCGGAATTTCGACTCGAAGCGGCTTTTGTGCTATGGACGGCTGCGTCTCCCCGGCGGACTGCCTAGTCAATAGAAATTTACGTCATTCACATATTGATTTCGCTTTTCCTGGAATTATTCCGGGTAAATTTATAAATATAAAATAAATATTTTTTAAATGGGCTTTTCGTTATTCAATTAAAAACTTGTTATTTTACCGGCTCCCAATTTGGGCGCGCGAAATGAATAATTTTTAAAGATTACGTCATGAAAGGCAAAATCTTCCATAAAAGCGTTGTTTTAGGAGATTTGTAAAACTGTTTATTAATATTTAATGCAATTTCTCGAGTTATTGTGCAATATAATTTTAATGATAACGTTTTCAATTTTCTAAATTACAAACATGCTGTGTTCAGTAAATAAGCGGTTTTTTTCTCTTCTAGAAGTGTAGGCGATGAGTGACGAAACTCCGGGGGCAGGGCAGGGTGCTCTGCCCCCGAAGGAGGGCCAAGGTCCCCGGACCGTGGCAGAGCGCCCTACAATGAAGCTGACACATGTTGGAGGCCAGTTTGTTCTTACGGCACAGACACATGGAGGAGTTCCAGCCTTGGCACAGGTTGGTCTTTACTTATTTAATTATAATTCTTAGATATTGTTTTGAAAATGCTGATCCAGGCTCTAAAAACATAATTTCAAGAATTTGATATAACTTTTTCTCTTACCTAATCTTGGTCTCCGTGTTACTCGAATATACACATTCATTTGATATTTGAGCGTCAAACGAGACCTACATTATAATTCCATCAATCCACAAGTATTTATGTTAATCATCTTAATTTGCTTACTATTAATGGAAAACAAGGTATTAAATAAATTGCAAACTTAAATGTCAATTTCAACAATTGATTGAAGTGTCACTTTTGTAAATTAACAAGATGCTTATGTAAAATTAAATTTTGTCTCTATTTGTGAGTTTTTGGTAATTACAGATAAGTCCTGGTACACAATTATCGACAACTCGTATAATAAGCATTAGTCCATCTAAAGTGGTACAAACATCTCCCCTTCGACCTAGTGTAGCCAACCAATCCATTGTAAATGTGCTTAAGTCAAGACCACAAGCCTCCAATATACGCTTACAGTTATTTTCCGGTGATAGTGCCAATTTTCAGCAGCATTCTGCTCATTCGAGGACAGTAAAAAGGTCTTTGTCACAGCCAGAAAGAAAAGACACCTATGCTGCCAAGTTGCAGAGGGTTATGAACCATAGGATTGTTCGATCTAAATTGGTGAAAGAAAAATACAGTGAACATCTTTTGGAGGCATTTTACTTAGATACGGGCGGCAACATTCTGGATCTGTACCAGTACGCCAAAAGGCCGAAAAGTCAGGCGTATTTGAACTATTTGAAAGAGCATGCCATCGACCCGAGAGATTGTGCGGAGGAGCCGAGCACCTTTATTCCTCAAACGACTCCCTCGACCCCTACTGCAACTGCAGTCAGTTCTTTGCCTGGCATGTCCCATTCATACAGTCCTGCGCCCTCGTCTTCAGAAACAACACCTTCGCAAAACAAAACCGCTTCTGTTAATAAAAACAAAGCATCTGGCAACTATACGCCAACCTCTAATCAAGAACAAATTGTAGAAAAGGCCAAGCAAGAAGCGTATGTAGTTCAGCGAATAGCTGATCTACAAAAAGAGGGGCTATGGTCAGAGAAGCGGTTGCCAAAGGTGCAGGACATGCCAAGATCAAAGGCCCACTGGGACTTTCTTTTGGAAGAAATGGTGTGGCTGGCCGCCGATTTTGCACAGGAACGCAAGTGGAAAAAGGCAGCGGCAAAAAAATGCGCCAGAATGGTGCAAAAGTACTTTCAAGACAAAGCACTTGCAGCCCAGAGGGCAGAAAAGGCCCAAGAACAATATCTCAGGCGGATAGCTTCGTTTTGTGCGAAGGAAATCAAAAATTTCTGGAACAACGTGGAAAAGTTGGTTGAGTATAAACAAAACACCATCTTGGAAGAGAAGCGTAAGAAGGCACTAGATCAGCAGCTTAGTTTTATTGTGGACCAGACGGAAAAATATTCTCAGTTGTTGGCCGAAGGTATGAACAGACCCTCCAACGAGATTCCCTCCAGCAGCACGAAATCGTCACGTTCGGTGTCGCGAGCGCATTCGGACGAGGAGTTCGAGCCGGAGACGCAGAGCGACGAGGACGACGAGGAGACAATTGAGCAGGAGGAGGCAGCTGCAGTCGAATCGGCCGAACAGACCGAAGAGATTGCTGCCCTGCAGCGCGAATCTCAAATGGAGCTCGACGACTTACTCGAAGACGATCTGCTGAGGAACTATCTGTTAAATCGCGACAATATTCGAATGAGCGAGTCGGATGACTCGGATTCCGAATCTGAGAAACCGAAAAGCAGAATCAGCAAAAAAGGTAAGGAAGACAGTAAAACTCCATCTGAGGCGTCTGAATCTTCCAAAGAGGAAGAAGAAGAAGACGAAGATGATGATGATGATGAGGAGGAGAGCGAAAACGAAACTGAGCATTCGGACGGTGCGGAAAAGAACAATGAACATGACGAGTTGAAAATGCTCGTGGAAGATAATAACGAGGGAGAAGCTACAAAGACTGAGAAAAACGACGACCTTATTAACGATGCCGCAGCCATTGCGGAAAGTATTCAGCCCAAAGGGAACACTCTGTCTTCCACGAGTGTTTCAACTAAAGTACCCTTCTTACTCAAGTTCCCTTTGCGAGAATACCAGCACATTGGCTTGGACTGGTTGGTCACTATGTTTGATAGGAAACTGAACGGAATCCTGGCCGACGAAATGGGATTAGGGAAAACCATTCAGACCATTGCTCTTTTGGGACATTTGGCATGTGAGAAGGAGAATTGGGGACCCCATTTAATAGTCGTTCCCACTTCTGTAATGCTCAATTGGGAAATGGAATGCAAAAAGTGGTGTCCAGGGTTTAAAATTTTAACTTATTATGGCACTCAGAAAGAAAGAAAAATGAAGAGAACTGGTTGGACGAAGCCGAACGCTTTTCATATTTGCATCACTTCCTATAAACTGGTTATTCAAGATCATCAGAGTTTTAGAAGAAAAAAGTGGAAATATTTGATTCTGGATGAGGCTCAAAACATTAAGAACTTTAAGTCACAGAGGTGGCAGCTACTGTTGAACTTCCAAACCCAACAGTAAGTTTAAAAAAAGTTTTTTGGGGCCATGTACCTACTATAATTATTGTTTTTTAGGAGACTTCTACTGACTGGTACACCATTACAAAACAACTTAATGGAACTCTGGTCACTTATGCACTTTCTTATGCCCAATGTATTCCAGTCTCACAGAGAATTTAAAGAATGGTTCTCAAATCCTGTCACTGGCATGATTGAAGGAAATTCTGAATACAATGAAAGCATAATCAAGAGACTGCATAAGGTTAGTATGTTTTATAAAAAAAATATTTTTCTTATGTATACATGATGATAATTTACCATTTTTGAAGGTCTGAAATCCATTCATATCATTCCTTGTAGTGATATAATCGAGGCATTTGTCTGAAAAATCAAAAAAAAAAAAATTATCAAAATAATTTTTGCAAAATAAATTAATTCTAATTTGTTTCAGGTTTTGCGACCATTTTTACTAAGACGCTTGAAGTGTGAAGTTGAAAAACAAATGCCAAAGAAATATGAACATGTGGTCATGTGTAGGCTTTCAAAACGTCAAAGATTCCTATATGACGACTACATGTCTAGAGCAAAGTAAGTTTTTAATAAATTTAATCATCAAACACTTAAATCTAATTTACACCGTTTTAGAACAAGAGAAACCCTCGCCAGCGGTAACCTACTGAGCGTAATAAACGTACTAATGCAATTAAGAAAAGTGTGCAATCATCCCAATTTGTTTGAAGTCAGACCAACGATTTCGCCTTTCCAATGTGACAGTATTAGTTTGCACATACCCTCGCTGGTTTATTCTTGCATTGATTATGATGTTTTTAAGGTGAGAAATTTTAAAATTATTTTAATACATACCAATTTCAATTTTTATGATGATTCTATACAAACGTCTGATAGCAAGAGATCCATTCAACTCTTGCTAAATCGGTGATTAACTCGAGGCATTTGTCTGAAATTTATTTAAGTCACGTCAAATATACGAATGTTTTGATTATTAGGATAATAAACGATATTTTCATTACAGCATGTCAATCTATACTCAATGAATCTCCTACTGATTATGTATGAAATGCACTTGAGCGCCTATCAGTGTTATAGGATGCGCGAAATGCGCACTCCCAAGAGCGTGCTCGAGAATCAAGAGATGCTGCGCGAACCCCAGATCCCTCCGGGCAAAATGAATATGCGCGTCGTTAAGGCTAGTGACGGGAAATTGGAGAAAAAAGATCTTTCCAAACAACCGCCCGGCGTTAAGGTTAAAGTTACGCCTCAATATGGGGTGCAGCTGGTGTCGCAACAGGGCATTGTCAAAAGTAAGTATTTTTTTCTTCGGATATATAATTTATACATATTTTTCAAAAGCAAAATTATTTGTAAAAAAATATCCAGTAAAATATTTAATTGTTAATGGGGTAGTTAAATTTTTTCTGACCTATACTTTTTATGGTTTTATTCAAGGCGTTTTGTAATATTAAACATTTCTGTGAAATCAGAATTTCAATTAAGTTTACCGTTTTCGAGATATTTACAAAAAATATAAATTTTTATGACGTCACAAACCCCACCATGTGACCAACATTCCAAGATTTCTATTGGTTGAAAATTACCCTGTTGTCAAGTTGTCTTGTCAATGATTTCATTCGGTTATATCAGAAAATACCCGAAGAGGTTATGTACAAATACTGTCACTGTCAGTTGAGTGAAAGAAGAAGAAGAAGAGATTCTGAAAGTAAAAGTTTTATTGATAGGTTTACACATTGAAACACCGTGTGAAACCTAATAAAATGTAATAAATAGGTACCTAATAACTGTCTAAAGCAGAGTTTAATATATTTCATAGAAAAAAGTGGCAAAATAAAGCTGAAAATGAATGAAATAAATTTACAAAAAATAACAGTAAATGTAAGTTAACAATGGTATTTATGATATTTGTGTATAGTTTTTATAAAACTTGCATCCCTGATGATGAGCATCAAAACCTTTTGTAAGATTTAAAAAATGTATGACAAACTTTTGGACTGTTCGAAGATACTATGCTCTAGAGTAGATTTTTGTACTTTTCGACAATTCTGGTTTAAATATTGCTGCAATAACGTACATGGTAGGTAAAGATACTGCAGGGTCTACAAATAGACATTTTTATTAAAATTATTCAAACAGATGGTCACCAAATTCATTAAGTACCTATCTTTCTTATTACTGTTTGATATTTTAAAGTCCAAGATATATCTAAAAGAATATAAAGAACTAGGCATTATACTAATGAAATGCATTTACGACAAAATATGATTATAATTATAGGTACTTACTTTATTTGTTTAAAAGCTCCAATGTTCAATGTAACCAACCATTCCACAAGATTCCTCTGCTTTGGAGTCCGTTATTAATAAATCACTTATCTAATATCAATTACAAATAACATAACAATAACATTGATTTTCAATAATCTAAATTTAAAAAAAAACATAACCCGAAAAAAAGAAACGTCAAAAAATCAATTCTTCTTCTTCTCCTCAACTAAAATTTTAGATCAAGTAGTTTTAAAACTAAAATATTATAACGTGGCGCCATCTATCGTAAGAATCTTAAACTAAACACCATAGAAAAAGCTGGCAACGTTGTCAATAGCCTAGTGACGTAATAAGGAGACTTTTTTTTGTAAATATCTCGAAAACGGTAAACTCAATTGAAATTCCGATTTCACAAAAATGTTTAAAATTACTAAACGCCTTGAATAAAACCATAAAAAGTATAGGTCAGAAAAAATTTAACTACCCCATTGGATAATATTGCCAAAATTTTAATTTGTCCTTATATGATGAAAAAATACCGTTTTTGAGGGTTAGAAATCCATTCATATCTTTCCTTTTATGATACAATCGAGGCATTTGTCTGAAATTATATTAATTATAAAATAAAAATTATTTCTCTAAAAAGTTTGTACTAATTAAAATAAAACTTATTGCAGCTATTCCGGTAGTGAGTATAGCTCAGCCAGCTTCAGGCAGCCAAACTATGCCTACGGCTTCCTTGTTAAAAACATCCGATAAAATTAGCGCAAGTTTCGCACAGCTGGTGCAAACATCAACCGGTAAACATTTATTGCTAACTTCCAACCCTAATATAGCCGCTAATATCCCCGTAGCTACGACTCAAGGCGGGCAAAAATTAACGTTGTTATCGAAACAACCGGTTTCAACGTCGGGTAATGCCGGTCATCCAGTAACAAAGGCGTACGTAAAGTTTCACATTACGTCGGTCGGCACCACCACAACCACGTCGACTGTAACCACGTCGAACACTCAGAACACCGTTGAGAGCAAAGAGGACGCGAAAGAAGAGATCACGAAGACGGTGGGCGCTAAATTCATAGAACAGCTTTACTCCAAACAAAATAGCCTGGACGTGCGATGGGGCACCGAGGAGAAATCGATACCGATACCGGGTGAGGAAGATCCGAACTCGGAGCGAAGTAGGCGTTTCGAAATAATGGCGCGAGTCAACGAAAAACGGTGCACGGCCTTGCCGCTTTACGGTCGGGATTTCCAAGATTCAATCAAAATCTTTAATCCTTGCAAATCAAACACATGGGTCAGTGGCAGGATCCATTGTTTAAATACTTTGTACAATGAACATGTTGCTGAGTTGACCTACTGTCTTGCTGATATGCTGTATAGGCCTGAGAGGAGAATCGAACAACTTAAAGGCACATCTGACAGGTATGTTTCTTTTTAATACATGAATGTTTTTAAAATTAATTTACGTGATGTTAACATACCACTTTTGAGGGTTAGAAATCCATTCATATCTTTCCTTTTATGATACAATCGAGGCATTTGTCTGACTAACTAATACAAATTAATTCATTTTATTAAAAAAAATACCTTGAATAAAGATATTCAAATGTAATTACAGGTTTATTTTCTACGTTCCACCCGTAAAATCATCCGATCCGGAGCTTCAAGTGTGGCATCCACCGCCTAGCAAATACTGGGGCCTAAAAGAGGAGAGGCAGGTTATTCAGAAAATCTTTTCGAAGCCCGCCACTCCTCTACACCACATCGCTTCCGCTATGGTCACGCAGTTCCCCGATCCGCGCCTGATCCAGTACGATTGCGGAAAACTGCAGACTTTGGATCGGTTGCTGCGCGATCTTAAACACGGCGGCCACCGGGTCTTGATATTCACGCAGATGACGAAAATGCTGGACGTTTTGGAGGCCTTTTTAAATTTCCACGGCCACATCTATCTGCGTTTGGATGGTACCACCAAAGTTGATCAGAGACAGGTATTTTATTAATTATTTTTTATTTTTTTTTATTACGATCTTTCTTATCCATTATTTAAGCACTTGCTCATAGACAAGGGATAGGTTGGGTGGGCGGGGGATTAGTTAGATAGGCCACTTAGTATTAAAGTTTTGTTCCGTGACTACTGCGCCATCTAGCGGGTGTAGTCAAAAATATATATTAAAATTATTGTTTAAATTTTTTTACTGGATGTTACTGATCCTTTTTTTACCTCCACTAGATAAATAATTCTAATATTTTTCTAGGAAAGTTCAAATAGGAATAATAATAAAACATAATAAAACTACATGTTTGTAATTATTTTATTTGTCAAAGTTACAAAATTTATAAAGGCAAAAATTCAAAACGCAACTTAAAATCGGTCTACATCATATGAACTTATCTAACTATTTCATTCCTATTCCTATTCTTATAATATTCTATAAGGTAAAATAAATTTATAAATAAAAGAACAATACAAATTTTAATACTTGGTGCTTAGAGAATCAACATATTTTTTTGTTATTTGGGCAAAAAGCGGGTCATACCTTATCGTTTTTTGGAAATCGATGCATATTTACACTCCCCTGCTTAGGCACTTTTGTACACAACAAGAATAAGCCATAATAATGAATACACAAAACAAACTTAAAAGGTTATAAATACTTCACAAATTTAAGTTATTCTTTCAAGTTGAATTATTATGACATTATGACAACGGTAGTCTCGGTGACAAAAACAATTTTGGCGACATTAGCGCCTCTGGCAAGCGTAGTGTAAACTTCTCAGCGGACAAGTTTTTGTACAGTAAAGATGCACTTGCTGGGATTTTTGTACACACTCTTGTGAAAATTTAAATTGACAACAGTTGTCAACCAAAAAATTTGGGCAGTGACAAAAATAATCAAACCATACAGTATGTACAAATGTGTTAAAAAAAATATTTTTTCTACAACCACTATGTAAAAGTCACATTTAGTTTTTAGCCTTTATTTAAATTGAGAAGGTAAGTTTACTGATTTTAAGTAACTTATACCTTAAAAATTAAAGATGAAAGAATTTTAACAGCTGTCAAACACGTTTTTGGGTTATTTTGTTTTGTATTTGAATATAATAAAAAATAAAAGGTTCGGAGAAAAAACATTGTGTTTCACTTGTGAGAAAAGCTTGCTTCAAGCTCGTGTTAATGCACACTCGGCCTGACGGCCTCGTGGGCAACTTAAACACTCGCATGAAAAAGTCGCTTTTCAACACTTGTAAAACAAATAACTATTACATTTCCTAGAAAATTGTATTCTTGATTAAAGTTTTTGTTTGATTTCAAACCCCCAGGATATGAGGTACATTATTTTTGTCTATCGTTTCTTTCCAACAAATTTGATTTTTCTGAAAATTTTTGACTAAAACTTCTATTACTTTTTAATTTATTGCCAAAAATACATTTTTTTCATCATTGTTATTAGTTATTTTTTTGACAGTCAGAAATTTCAACTGTAAAAAATTAATGACAAGGGTGTCATAAAAATAAATTACATGACAGTCATTTTCATTATAACCGTGCCATGAAATTGTCATAAAAATTTGCTTACATCCCTAGACATATATTCCTTATAGTATTACAGAATGAATTATGTTATCATCGGATGATGGAATAAACACGAGCGGCGACATATGTGCGTTCCAACCAACACTTTATCCCAATTAAATTATTTGTCTATTGTATTTTTTGGAAACATAGAAAAAGAATAGCCTGAAGCACGTTGGAATTGCATACTCCAAACTTGTTACAGAATATACTATTTCATGGTAGGTGGAAATCTGGTAATTAATTTTTTCCTATGAAAAAGTATAAAAAATGCAACAATGTTAAAAAAAATGTATTTTTGGCAATAAATTAAAAGGTCAACAGTCCAAAATTTTCAGAAAAATCAAATTTGCAAATTAACCACAGACAATAAAAATGATGTTTTGCATATTTTTAAAATTAAGCAAAAACTTTAATCAACAATAAAATTTTAAAATATTTTTTTTCCTCTAACCCCATTTGTGGACATTTTATATAAGGGGGCAAATTAGCCAAAAGTCAATTTAATTTTTTTCACATTTAAATAAATGCCACAAAATTATATACAGGGAAACCCGACTTTTTTACTTTACAAAAATAACTTTTAAATTTTAAGGACGTGACTACTGCCACGCCGCGTCGGGTTTTATAGTTATAAAATTATTGGCACGCCGTTTTTATTTTGAAGAAAACTTATAAAGGTTTCTTCAGTAGTATAATTCCACACGAACAACATTTTGACAGTTAATTTGACAATAAAAAACATTTTTTCTAAAATAAAGTATTTTTGAAACAGATAAAAAATGTGAAAATATTCCGCTACCGGGAATGAAATCCGAATCTTCCTGGGTAAGAGCCAGGTATCCTATCTACTAGGCCATAAGGGATTGTGTTTTTATATTAAACGGTTAAGAGGATTTATAAGTAGCTCAGGCGGTCTTGATTAGAGCCTCAGCCCAATCGCGTACGAGAAATGAAGGTATACCTTCATTTACTTTTTAGTTCAACAGAATCTTGTTTTTAAAAAGTTTTTTTACGTTTATTTTATATTTTTTAGGATTAGGATTTGTTTAATTATTTGTCCTAATATATTAGGCCAAATAATTAAACAAATCCTAATCCTAAAATATAAAATAAACGTAAAAAATCTTTTTACAACAAGAATCTGTTGAACTAAAAAGTATTTACATAATTTTGGTTTATAAAGTAGTAGGTAGTAGTAAGGCTACAGAAAAAATCCAAAAAAATTAAATTAAAATTTGAATATTTTAGCTAGTAACTTTTATGGTTTATTTTTAAAAAGATTTTGAACGTTAATGTTATTAAAGTTTAAAAACTATGCACCGTCGATCAGTTTTTTGTTAGCATATAACAAACTTACTTTTGCAACGGTGCTATATTATCGCGGTGGCCAGCATGTTTACAGGTCTTGATGCTGCAAACTATCTAGAACCCTGCTACAAATTTTATTCACATTATTAACAACATTCACAACATTAATATCACAAGAGAGTGATAACACAGTTCAACACGATTTTCCCCCCATGAAAAATTTTAACAGATTTAAAAAATAAAGGTTAAAAAAACGTACCTGTGTCTCACCTGTTCACGAAATCACGCCATTTAAATTTTTTATACAGCCATTCTTATTATTTTAACCTATACAGATTTGTAATTATTTATTTTGCTATAAATCATTTTTTTTCTTTAAATGTATGCTTTTACATAATACAAAATTATACTTAAGGAAAATAATAATTTTAATTTTTTTTAATTAAAAAAAATATTTCTGGTTTTCATTTTTGATTTTTTTTTAATAAAACAACAGATTTGTATTTAACTTATATTCAATATTTAGTTTGACAATAATTATTATACATTGCTTCAAAATCTTTAGTGGTATCACAACCTAAAAACACCTCTTGATATACAGGGTTTTTCACATTCGTGGTCCATTTGAAGTTTGTGGGAAACGGAAAAAGATATCGAATTGTTATTTAAAGCATTTATAATCCATGTAAGTCTTTTTTTTTAATATTTTAAACAAAATGCCATTTCCGGTTTGTCTGGAAGTGACATCAACTTTGTTATTTTAAATAGAATTTCTCTAAAATTATTAAATTTATTTATAGGAAATAATTACATCAATAAAAATGTTTTTTAATTTTTTATTTGACCATGTAAAAACATAAAGGGTGTTTCATTTCTCTAAAATTATTAAATTTATTTATAGGAAATAATTACATCAATCAAAATGTTTTTTAATTTTTTATTTGACTATGTAAAAACATAAAGGGTGTTTCATTTAAAATAAAAAAGTTCATAACATTTCAAGTTAGCCTAATTTGCCCTGGGTACTTTGATGTTAAATGTTAAAGAATTGACATGTAATCTTTTAAACAATGTTTTAAGATTAAGCAAAATCCTAATAGCAAAAAAGTTATAGACTATTTTTGATTGACGAGCATTTGTCAATTTTTTACAAAAAAAAAATAACTCGAAAACCATTTACTTTAGGTAAAGGACAAATTTCAAATCGATATCTTATGCCGTTCCTCAGAAAATTTTGGAACACGAACGTGAAACATCCGTATTTCGTAAATGGGCAACACTCTGTATATAATTAAAATTATTTTAAATTAAATAAATAATTTTAATGGTTGCCTATTTATTCAGTGACTAAATGACGTGATCTGAAAAAACGCCGAGACACGGTTATCTTTTTTTAAGTATATTTTCAAATGTATAGGAATTTTTCATGGGAGGGAAAAAAATTAAATTTTGTCGTACAGTTTAATACATTGAAAATAATTTTTAGATATTTCAAAAACTTGCCTGGTAATGGCCTAATGACAACAAGTTAATAAATATTCTTTTCTAATTTATTGAACCCTTGAGTGGTATTAAAAAAATTATTTGTTGACATTTGTTATAGAATTTTGTTGGGTTTTAACAGAATGCCATATTATTTTCACCCATAATATAACTAGTGGTATGATTATCATCGATGATATTTTCGAATTAAAACCGAGCTGCAGATTTCACGAGTCCGCAGGACGAGTGAAATGTGCTGCTTCGGTTTTAATGAGTAAATATCATCGATGATTAATCATACCACGAGTTATATTTAGTGAGAAAATATAATGAATTTTAGGATTTAACGAATTTTTAGTTTGACATTTGAAATTAAAATGTGCTTTAAAATATAAAAAGACTTTAATAAACCTTATTTATTCAAACTTACCTTAATTTTATTATCGTTTACACCAACCCATCGATCTTTTAGAGTTTATAATTCATTATTTTAATCATTTAGGTAACAAACACAGTATTTAAATGACAACAAATGTCAAATCAAAAAAACGTCAAAGTTCATAGTAACGTGTAAACAAGATGATAATAGTATATTATGTATCAAGTTTGATAAACGCCATTTTATACACGAATTTAATTTAGGCACGAGCGAGCTTGCGAGCGAGTGCTTAAGTTAATGAGTGTATAGAAAAGTTTATAAACGAGGTGCATACTATACTTTTTCTACGACAAAAACTTATTAGTATCTTAAAATTATTTAAATCAAAAATTTGTATAGAGCGCAATCTATGAAACAACAGGGGAAACTGTCAAATGTCAAATCAATTTTTACATTTTAGAAACACAATTAAAAGGTTATAAATCGAAATGTATCTTGAAAATTGACAGTTTTTCACAGTGAAAGTAAAGGAAATGTTTTATGAGGACTTTACAGTAGAGTCCGTGCCCGAATTTAAGTTATAGTTTACTGCCGGCGAAATTAAAATGTCAGTACAATGTTCATATAAACTTTTCAAATATTGGCGTTGAGAAACTATTTAACTATTTAATATTTTTGTATTTTTGTATTGAGATAATAAAATAATTTTCACATTTAGTATTATTTTACAAGAAAGGCACTTTATTTTAACGATTGTATGACATTTGACAACTGTCAACTAACTTAAAACTAACTTCAGCCCGTGACTAAAAACCTGTTGCTAACTTCAGCCCGTGACTAAAGCGTCATAAAGCCACAACTTGTCAATGTATATTTAAAAGGTCACTTAGTGTCATGGAAACATGTACGATATAGGGCGTTTTAAAGGTGGGAGTAGAAAAAAATTATTGCCGCTGTGATAAAATACGTCACTATGGAATACTGGCATTTTATTGGTTCTAATATTAATGAATTATATTGTCGTGAAAATAATGTGCAGTAGGTTATTCCCACCATAATAATGTTTTGATTGATTAAAACACACACATGACCGAATTTAAAATTATCCATTGGTTCTTACAAACTTCAAAAAATAATCGGTATACTGTAGTTATAAAATAATAAGTATACTATCGTATTTTAGAGATTATTTTTTGACGTTTCTAAAATCCAATACGAAAATTTAAATTCAGTCGTGTGTATGATTTAATTAATCAAGACAATACTATTTTGGTAATAACCCACTATACCTGTTGTTTTACATTTATTATATATTTTTGTTAGGTTTTGACATGTCATATTATTTTCGCGAAAATAATGTACTACACATCAAAGTCCCTCCACATGACCAAAAATTAAGGTTAATTTTCTGTGAAGAGTCAAGTTAATTTCGTTCTATTTTCTGAAAATAATGCATTATATGTATTTTTTGTGTATACAGGTTTTAATTTAAAACACAAAAATACAATGTACAGGGTGGTCCACGTAAGGTGACCCATATACTTATCTCAGAAACTACTGGAGTCACAAAAAATTTGTAAGAAACAAATATTCACGAAGTAAAAAATATTTTTAAAATATTATACTTTTATTTATACAGGGTGTTCGGTTTTCCTTGGGACGATACCAACTTTCTTATTTTCAATGGAACACCCTGTATTTTTTTGCATTTTTGGATTCTACCCACTCTTTTAGGTATACTTTGTAAATATATTAATTAAGAAAATTTTAATACTTTTTGAGTAAAATTAAGATTTATTAAAATTTCTCTAAATGTAGACACTCGCTAAAAGTTAAAAATAATCAACTAAAAGTTATTATTTTTTATATTATGTAGTATCCATCTCTTTAATAATAAGTAAGCTATAAGTTAATTATTATATTTTTTGGAAAATATCATACAGGGTGTTTTCTATGTCCCGTTGAAAATACCGATTTTAAAAGTTTAAAATCTTGTTTTTCTTCAATGGAAGACCCTATATATTTTTGCTTAATTGGATAGAATAAGTAATTACCTTTCATTTTATATATATATGTCCTATACCTAAACCTAACAGGAAAAAAAATATTCGCATTTTTCACAATTAGTAGCTTTTTTCCAATTATCTTAGTTAAATTTTCATTATTCAAATAAATAAATTTCAATAACAACAAATAAAAATGCTTTTATATATAAATATATATATTACTATAATAATTACCATACGCGCAAAGCTACTAATTTTGTAAAATGCGAATATTTTTTTTAGGTGATCCACGTAAGGTGACCCATATACTTATCTCAGAAACTACTGGAGTCACAAAAAATTTGTAGGAAACAAATATTCACGAAGTAAAAAATATTTTTAAAATATTATATTTTCATTTATACAGGGTGTTCGGTTTTCCTTGGGACGATACCAACTTTCTTATTTTCAATAGATCACCCTATATTTTTTTGCATTTTTGGATTCTACACACTCTTTTAGGTATACTTTGTAAATATATTAATTAAGAAAATGTTAATACTTTTTGAGTAAAATGAGGATTTATTAAAATTTCTCTAAATGTAGACATTCGCTAAAAGTTAAAAATAACCAACTAAAAGTTATTATTTTTTATATTATGTAGCATTCATCTCTTTAATAATAAGTAAGCTATAAGTTAATTAATTTATTTTTTGGAAAATATTATACAGGGTGTTTTCTTTGAATAATGAAAATTTAACTAAGGTAATTGGAAAAATGCTACTAATTGTGAAAAATGCGAATATTTTTTTTTCTGTTAGGTTTAGGTATAGGACATATATATATAAAATGAAAGGTAATTACTTATTCTATCCAATTATGCAAAAATATATAGGGTGTTCTATTGAAGAAAAACAAGATTTTAAACTTTTAAAATCGCTATTTTCAACGGGACATAGAAAACACCCTGTATGATATTTTCCAAAAATATAATAATTAACTTATAGCTTACTTATTATTAAAGAGATGGATACTACATAATATAAAAAATAATAACTTTTAGTTGATTATTTTTAACTTTTAGCGAGTGTCTACATTTAGAGAAATTTTAATAAATCTTAATTTTACTCAAAAAGTATTAACATTTTCTTATTTAATATATTTACAAAGTATACCTAAAAGAGTGGGAAGAATCCAAAAATGCAAAAAAATACAGGGTGTTCCATTGAAAATAAGAAAGTTGGTATCGTCCCAAGGAAAACCGAACACCCTGTATAAATGAAAATATAATATTTTAAAAATATTTTTTACTTCGTGAATATTTGTTCCTTACAAATTTTTTGTGACTCCAGTAGTTTCTGAGATAAGTATATGGGTCACCTTACGTGGACCACCCTGTACCTGTCATGTAATATTTTTAGAAAATGGGACGAAATTAGCTTGACACTGACAGAAAATTAACGTTAATTATTTTTATCAAACTCATGTAATGGGACTTTAATGTGTGAAGCATTATTATTATTATTTAATAATAATAATATTAGCATTATTTTCGCGAAAATAGCCCCTTGAGCCCTACAGGCTCTTGTGGCTATTGCAAGACAAAAAGTTTTCGAAATATATTTCAAATTATTTTTAATTTGTGATATTAATGTTTAAAATAAATGAATGATATGCAAAGTAAAGTTTTCATTATTCCCATATTTTTATGTATTTTCATTCTTTGTCTAGCTTTTGATGGAGAGGTTTAACGGCGACAAAAGGATATTCGTTTTCATTTTGTCCACCCGCTCTGGCGGCGTAGGCGTCAACTTGACTGGCGCAGATACTGTGATATTTTACGATTCCGATTGGAATCCGACAATGGACGCGCAGGCTCAGGATCGTTGCCATCGTATCGGTCAAACCCGTGATGTCCACATCTACCGGTAAGTGTAGAAAAAGTTAATTTTAATTAAAAACATCCCTTTCTTATCCAAGGTGAGATGTGATACCTGCACTTCTCATAATTAATAGAAAGGAGATTATAGTGCAACAATTACCAACCGATAGTTTTTATTTGGTGGAACTATGCGGATGACTCGTTGCAAACAATATCATAACAATAATAATTATTCATTAATATTCCAAAGATTACCTTAAAGAGACGTTTTTTTTTAAAGGTTGGTAAGCGAAAGAACAATAGAAGAAAACATTCTTAAGAAGGCCAATCAAAAGAGACTACTCGGTGATTTGGCGATAGAGGGCGGTAATTTCACCACTGCATACTTTAAGAGCGTAAGTTCTTTTTATAAAACCTAAATCTTGGCTGGTAGAAAATCTGAAAATCTTTACACATTATTAATATTTTTTAGTCCACAATTCAAGATTTGTTCAGCATCGACCAAAGCGAGGAGAGCGCCGCCAATCGGATGTCCGAAGTGGTTGAAGGTAGCAAAGATCGCGAGAAACGACTTGGTGCAGATAACCGCCCGCCTGCTGCCGCCGCCGCCCCCACTTCTGGCAGCGGTGACGAGAAAGTTGCGATGGGAGCTTTGGAGAATGCCCTGGCCGCCGCGGAAGACGATCAAGACGTGCAGGCGGCACGTACCGCCAAAGCGGAGGCGGTCGCTGATTTGGCAGAGTTCGACGAAAACATTCCGTTGGAAGAACAGGATAAGGATAAGGAACCGGAGATGAGCAAGGCCGAACAAGAGATAGACAATGTTATCAAAAAGGTATGTTGTTTATTTATTGATTTATTCATTTTATTTTGGAACAAATAATGCACCGTCGATCAGTTTTTTGTTATCACATAACAAACTTACTTTTGCAACGGTGCCATATAAACGCGGTGGCCAGCATGTTTGCAGACCTCAATACTGCATACTATCTAGAACCCTGCTACAACCCTTTCTTTGTAATAAAACATTTTTATCCACGCTAAAAATATCCCTTTATAGCGTTTTATAGCGTCGGTAAAAACAGAAAAAATTAGGGGAAGAACCTGTTTTTTCCCCGGACCTTGGAAAAATTGTCTTTTTGGAAAATAATGAATTTTAAAAAAAAATTTAAAATACACATAAAAGGATAATTTTTTATGTTATCTATGAATAAATGCTTTGTTTTTACATAGCAAGGCCATAACTTTTTTTTTAATCTAATTGCTTAGAAAAATGAAATTGTTTCCGCACCTTCAACTATCATTTCAAAGGGATTTGGAAATTTTTTAGAAAAATTGGCTATTTTTATTTATCTGTATTGCGGAAAATATATGAATTTGTAAGGTATCAGACACATTCAAAAATAATTTTAGATATTTTTACAGTACAGATTCCAAAAAAAATAATTTTTAAGGTTGCATTTGTTTTTATACATCATTTTCTATTTTGTATACCAAGACCTTGCTCAGGAGATTTAGATAAAAAAATAAACTAAATAATCAATTTTTAAGCTATCAACATGTTCCTATTTTGTTTCTCGAGTTTGGAAACAAATTTTTAAAATAATCCATGGGAAATCTGTGGGAAATAATACTTCTACACAAGTGTTATTTTCCATAGATTCTTTAAAAAATTCGTTTTTAAACTCAAGCAACCAGAGAGGATCATTACAGTATATTTTTTATGGTAATCTCAAAAAACAATTTTGTAGCACTTTTTAAATTGTCATTTCAAATTTTGTGCTGCCAACTTAAGAAACACAACAATATGACAGTTTTAAAACTTAATATATAACAACAAATTAACAATTTATATTGTTACTTATTTACTTTTTAGTTTTACTTTTTAGTTTTTAATAAAGTATAAATTTGTTAATTAAAATAACCAGGTTTTATTTTTACTATGAAGGGCATTCCACGATACTCGGGAATTTTTGTCCCGACCGTCACAATTAAAAATTGTGAGTAAAAACCACATGTTATTAAATTTATTTTAAAATATTGTTTATTATGCTTATAAGCACAATACACATAATATAAAATAATCATTTAATAACATGTGAACCGCTGAATTTGATGTCACAACCTACTGTTATTTATTTATAAAACTCTTCAAATGGTGGAGATACTAAGGAACTATTTTGGGTATATAACGTGGGGTGCATTCTAAATTATCGTAGATAAGATTGGCAATAAAAAATGTTGTCATGTCAGAATTCAAATTTAAATTAATCTTTAAATGTTAAATTTTTTAGTATTTACAAAATTATAATAGGTGATTTGCATAAATTTGCATTTGTGTGCGAATCTCCTATCTATTTTTCTATATTAAGGTAGTTTATTCTTTTTTAAAGGTTTAATCCCCTCTTTCTAGGATTTAATCCTACTTTTTTTTACAGGATTACAATAATTCCATGTATACTTTATTTATGTAAAATAATTTTGTCATATATACTGCAAAATGTCGTTTATTCAGGAGGAAAATAAAACAAATTTTCTTAAAAGCATGAAGAAATAAAGTACAAAACCATTTTGATTCTTTTAGATTTAGAAAAGTACACAGTAACGTTTTTGGTTCTCCTGAAGTTACACACTAAAGTGTAGCGACATGTTGCAGTATTAACGACAATATTTGACCTTTTTTATATTTTCAGCTGTCGCCAATAGAAAGGTACGCCATGCGTTTTATTGAGGAGACTGAGGTCGCGTGGTCGGCGGAGCAGCTGGCGGCGGCGGCCCGAGAAATTGAAGAACAGAAGCGCGAGTGGGAGCTGAACCGGGTGGCAGCCATGAAGGAGGAGGAGGAAAGAAGAGCTCGGGAACTCGAGGAGGAAGCCGACATAATCACCTTCTCCAGAGAGGACGCCACCAATCAGGTTAGCAATAGTAAAAGTAAAAAGTTTAAGGCTAGAAAAGGGGGCGGCGGAAAGGTAAACGCCGCCACCCCGCCGCAGCAGCAGCAACAACAACAACAAAAGCAAGCGCCAAAGTTTAAAAAGAGAAAAATGATTATCAGAACCAGGACCGTCAGCGAAGCCGCTAAGGAAGACAAAGTTGTTAGCAGGCGTGGTAGATCGAAACGTTTGTCTATGAATGATTCGAAAATAAACACTGACGCCGATGATAGTCAAGATACAACAGAAAATATCGATTCGAATAAATTGAACGGTGACACGGATTCCAATAGCATGGATTCGGTTGAATCCGAGTCGGATATGACGCTGGCCTCTCTCAAAGGTCCTCCAGTAAATCACGTTCATCACAACTCTCCCAGAACCAGATCCAGAGGTACAGTGGCTATAAACTTATGGACATTAGATGTTAGCCCAATTTTACCCAGCACCACTAAAAATAAGAGCTTGCAAGGCAACCATTCGGCGGTAAAACGGTTAAAAGCCACCAGTGTCGAGAAAGACGAGGTTCTCAAGGACGATAAAGATAAAAAAAGCGTTAAAAGAGTAATATTAGATGAAGATAATGAAAGGATTTTGAATGCAATTGATAAACCTATCACCAAAAAAATTAAGACTGATGATTCAAAAACGGCCCCAAAAATTAGTATGAAAAGCAAAACCTGTTATGTAGTATTAAATGATATTGTAGCTGAAGGCCAATACAAAATTCCAATGGAAGTAGAACCAGCAGAATCACATATTGATAAACTTTTAAACAGTGAAGAAAGTTATATCGATGCATCCAGTACTGAGAAACAATCCAATGTGGAAAAAGTAAATGAAGAAAAAGATAATAGTGATAAAAATGAGACTTGTGTTGATCAAGATGAAAAAACGGCAATTTTGGGCAAATCTAGTGTCGAAACCGAAAAACAATCCAATGTGGAAAAAGTAAATGAAGAAAACCAAGTAGAAAAAACGGCGATTTTGGGCGAATATAGTGTCGAAACCGAAAAACTTCCTCATGCATCTGAGCCAAAAGATAACCTAGACAAGTCTATAAATGAAACAACAGATAATCAAGAGGTGTCTAAGAATGAAACACAACAAGATTTTGCTACCTCAGATGATTCCAGTGTTGAAGACAAGCCTAGCATCAAGATTAAAGACCAGTTAGAGAACATAAGTCAAGTAGATTTGGTTACAAATTGTTCTGAAACAAAAAACAACCAAGATGGGTCAAGTGTAAAAATAAACGAGTCTAGCATTGATATTAAAGATTGTGAGAAAGAGTCTTGTATTGAAATAAATGATAATAAAGACCAGTCAAGTACCGAAACAAAGCAAAATCAAGACGAGTCTAAGAACGAAATTCTAGAAGAATCGGTAACAGATTCAAAATCGACCACAATAGACGAGTCCAATGCTGAAAAATCGACTTGTGAAACTATAAACGCCGAAGTAATAGACATATCGTCGGACATGTCGATACAGTCGGAGGAAAAAGTCGACGATACTTTCGACGAAACCGTCGAACCTGTCGAGGTTATCGATTTGGTGAAAGATGATGACGAGGATGACGACAAATTAAAGGAAAACATTGAAAGCACAAACATTCCCAACAACGACGGCAAATCTAGTCACTCGATAACCGATAACAACGGCATAGACGGCAACGTCGCAGTCGTCAAGAGCACAGCTAACCGAAAGCAAAAGAGCGGCAGTTTTAAGTCGCCTGATTGTCGCAAGAGCTACAAGAAATTCAACAAGGCTAACAACAAAACGTTGGACTGTTGGCTGACGAGGTCGCCGAAAAATGTCAAAAAATCCGACGACGACGACGTCGATAATAATGACGATAACAACAGCGTCGAGGAGAACGACGAGGCTCCGATCGGTAAGCGAGCGATATCGGATGCCGCAGACTTGAACGATTCTGAATCGGATCAGAAAAAAATCAAGTCCAATTAAATTTAATCCTACTGAGATTTTAAGTATTCTGTCAGTAGTAACCAGTGCTGCATAAACTTAATTTTATTAAAAACGTTTAACCAACGCGAATGTGAAAATGTGATCTAGGTTTAATTAGAGAGTTATATAATTGTACATATATACATACATAAATATATTTAGAGTTATAGTTTTTTTACACAATGGACAATTTTTAATTCGGAAGAATCTGTAAATTATATCGAATGAATGTGTACATGTTTGTCGGAAAAACACGCGAAAACCATGTGATCCATTTCATTGTTCTCGAGGAAATATTGTCCCCAATTTTCCATTTATTTTATTTATTATTTATCAGTTTCAATTATTACGCTATGACTTCTCTTTATTTATATTGATATATTTTTTAATGATTAACTTCTTGTTTTTAACTATTAAGATACCGAAAATAAGGAAAAGCTATGGTGTAAAAATTGTTTTATTTTTCAAAATGAGTTCATCATACAAAACAACCGGATAATCATTTAATTTTGCTGTACTGATCGTTTAAGATGTTTTTTTTAACCGGTCGTGTTCTATGTCTGACTCATTTGGCACATATTGTTTCATACAAACTTGTAGCTTGTATACTCGAGTTTAACGTGGGAGGAATCGAAAAATTACTAACTATTATTTTAATTTTTACAATTCACATTTCTGAATGCCTCCGACGTTGTACTGCAAATCGAAACAAAAAAATTAACAAATCAGAATGGCCATGTACATAGTTAAGAAAAAAATTGAAAAAATAAAGAAGTTCTCTTGCGAATATTTTGTTTGTTTCATGCGGGGTGGACGCGGGTTTTGGTGCCTTCTTGCTCCGACGTCCTAGTGCAGCGGGCACCAAAACACTGCCCCCGCTGGACACGAGCAAGGGGGCTTCTTTAATTTTCAATCAAAACCCGCTACCCACCTCTAAACACTGATCTTAACCCAAAAACCCTAAAAAAAGCAAAAAAGAAACATTTAATCAGAAGTGGTTGTTTACTGAAACATCATTAAAATGAGCAAAACATGGTACGTATAAAGTTTACATTCACAAATTCCTATCTATATCCTACCAAACACCCCCACCACATTCTTCTTACATGTGCTATTCAACAAAATTACAATTATTTATTAGATAAATAAGTAAAAATAAAATAACAATTTTATTATTTCGAATATTTTTCTAAATATTACAGATCTGGGTCTCAGACAATACAATGGATAAAATGCCGGTAAGAATTAATATTCACATTAATTTAAAACTTGTCTTAACGATGAGATATTTAATCAGATGTGGTGTCCACCCACTCCTCCTCAACAAGACACAGACGTTTACATTGACCAGACAATGGGTTTTCTATACGATACGAACGTGATGTCGGAGACCCAACTACCGCCAATCTACGTTAAGAAAGAGTCCAACAAGCGATCGCGTCTCGAGGCCGGCCTCGTAGATAGCAGACGGGCCTCGAAACTGCCCAGAAAAGAGGAGTCCACGAATGCGCCAAAATCCCTGTTCCATTCCGCCACTTTGATGAAACAGCGTAGGGAGATGAAGATGCAGAAGTTTAGAGGATTGGGTGTGCGACCTCCGATGACGCTACCCGGCAAATCGAACATCATGAAGCCGGCGGTCGACCAAACTCCTTGTCATGATTGGACCATTCACGAGGATGTGGCAATCCTAAAGGTCATACAGAACTTTCAAGGCCTACCGTTGAATTTGTTCGTTTCCTCGCCCGGTCACACTCCGAATTGGGATTTTGTAGCCGACTACGTGAACACCGTCTCGATTACGTATCGCAGTGCCAAACAATGCAGGCAAAGATACGAAACGGTGTTGATGCAGCGAGAAGAAGGCAAACAGATATTCGATAACTCGCTGAGAAAGAAAAAGAAAGCCGGCAGCTTGCAGAAGTTCACGTTGCCTCAAAAGTCTAGCCGTCCAATGCGCACGTCCCAGCTTTATATACAAGATAATAACACTACGTTCTCCCAGGTAAGAATCATATTGTAAAACAGATTTTAGTTTATAATCGGTTTTGGTTAATACAAAAAAACTAAATTATATTTTATGTGCTTTTTTCTTTGTTTAGGTTTTCTTAATTTATTGTCTGTTTAGATTTTAGTGTCAAACATTTGTTTATTTGGTCTCGTTTAGTTTCAACCTTATTTTGTTGGGGCCGTTCGCTTAAATTAATGGGTTTAGTGCCTTACGCGTTTGTTGTTGACAGATTTATTGTTATACTCAGCTTTCGTGTGAATTACCGCGGTAGGATGGGGCGGTATTTTTGTTATTTGTCTTTTTTGGTGTTTGCTTACTATTGTCTTACTAATGTTACTGATGCACTTAGTTGTTTTTTTTTTACAATTTAAGCAAAGTGTCTAACTTAGGGTTTTAAAGGTAACTGTTTAATGTTGCAAATTATGTGTTTGGTCATGCAGATGGTCAAGGCTACTTATCAGATTTTGCAGATGGCCCCTTCCTCCTTTGGTTGTCATTTCTTGTTTGTCGCGTGAAAAGCGTCCAGTTGACAGATGGCAATATAATCCGGGCCCTAATTATTATTCATATTGCATAAATATTATATATAAAGAAATCTTAAAACGCTGTATTTTTTAGATTATGATTGAAAAAAATGACGCGCTGAAGGCAATAACCAACAAACGTCTTCCAACAACTCGCACCGTATCCGCTAATACAAACAAAAACAACAAACATTCGACCGTTTTGAGTGAGTGCGGCATCGATATCGACCATCCGGTACTACCGGTCGAAGTGGCCGCTCGCAGGGCGGAGCGCATAGCCAAGGAAAAGAAGTCAATGACGCCCGAACAGCGCATGCAACTGATGAAGGGTTACGTGGGGGCCCAGCAGGCGGCGGTCGCGGCGCAACAGCAGAACTCCGCTGCCATCGTCGGTCAGCCTGGCTCTTCGGGCACTGCTGTCGTGGTGGCGACAGGTTCTTCAGGCGGACAGGTCGTCGTCAGTCAGACGCCCACCATCGTAACCGCGGTCACTACTGTGGGTGCTACTCCTGGTACACCTCCAAGTAAGTACTTTATAATAGCGGCTTATTTTCTTAAAACTTAAAACCATTACAAAACCTAATTAACTTTGTAGATATGGCTCGTGCTCCTCGATTAATCGCTTCTCCCCTGCCAAATCAAACGGTCGTGTCAGTATCATTAGCAGGCATGAGTCCGGCTCAGCTGCAAGCTGCCGCCGCCGGCCGTCTTATCGTGTCCGCCGCCGCTGGCGGTCAAGCTAAGGCGGTTGTGGGGGCGGCAGGTGGGCAGGGGGTCGGTCAAGGAAAGCAGTTTGCGCATCAGCAGCTTATGATAAAAACTGCGACCAAGAATCAGTTGCGCTTGCACGCTGCGTCTCAGCAGGCTGGAGTTAAAACGTCTACCGTTACTATTGGCGGACAGCCTGCTGTGGTGCAGTTTACGCAGGCGCAGCCGAGAGGTGCGCAATTTGTAAGACAAGCTGCTACGGTGGGCAAAGGAATCCAACGTACTGTCACTGAAAGCGAGATGCAGCAACTTTTGCTAAGGAAAAATCAGCTGCAACAACAGAAGTTGGCTATTCAGCAAGCTGCCGCAGCAGCTGCGGCAGGTGGTTCGGCTTCAGCTAGTGGTCAAGTGACGACCGGTACGGTGCAAGGCTTGCAAGGACAAGTTTATGCTCAAACAATTCAACAGGCTGGATCATCAGGTACACCCATAGCCACTCTGGTCAAAGCAGTATCCACCGCTGGAGGTAAGATTTACTCTATTGCATAAACATAAAATTTTAATTTCTTCTGTTTTATAGGAACTCAAACGGTGACAATTCCCGTAACCGGAGTGACACTGGCCACGCCAGGTAAATCGATAACGCCAACGTTGAAGATGGCAAACAGCCAACAACTTAGACAACTTCAGATGCAGCATCTGATGAAACAAAATAAATTGAACCCTCAAAAGTTAAGCGTCGCTCAAATAGGCGGCAAAAATAACATGCAAACGCAGCTGATCGTGGGATCTAAACCTCTACCGACCACGATGCAGTTCATAAGATCGCCCATGGGCGTGTCCCAAGGTCCTGTGGTGCTAGCCAAGGGATCGCCTAGGATGATACCCGTCAACACTGCGCAGGGAGGAAAGCAACAAACTATACAGGTAAGGATTAAACCTTTATTTTTATTTTAAACGCGATTCATGGTGTCTGATGGTCACAGTTATTTGTAACATAAAAAGTTTTTATATTATGTTTTTATTAAAAACACTTTCAAACAATTCATCAAAGAAATAATATACTGGTTTTAAAAGTGAATAACTATTAAAAAATCTAAAGGTCTTTGAATCAAATAATTTGATAAAAATTTAAAACAAAATAAAAAAATTAAGCCATTTAAAATATAGAATAAATCTGTTCCCACAAATCAGACACTACCGGAATTATGCTGCGTCCTTTTCCTAAATTTTTTGTGATGAAATCATACCACTTTTGAGGGTTAGAAATCCATTCATATCTTTCCTTTTATGATACAATCGAGGCATTTGTCTGAAACTTTTGTTTCTATAATTTGAGATATATTTTAGTTTTGTTGGACAATCAAGCATGCATAGTTTTTTTCGCAGGTGGTAACCGCTTCTTCTCAGAGCCTGAGCACCGCTTTGCGACCTCAGGGCTCTTCGTCGACTCTAGCTGGCGCCCTGACCAGCATTAAGGTGCAGCCAAGCAATTCCAATCAGGCCCACCAGGCCATTTTATCTCAGGTATCCGCGGCCCTTCAGAACCAATCCGCCGTCAGACAGGGCAGTCCTGTTCGCATACAGACCGCCAGCGGGGCGCCCATCGTTGCCGTTAGCATGCAACAGCAACAGGGCAACGTTGCCGCGACGGTGGCGACGACCACGGCCGAACATGTAAGTAGGTTTTTGAAGAAGTGAGAAACACGGTATTGCTTTATTTAATATTTCCTAAAAAACAGATTAATATTTTTATTAGGGATTAACTTGCTTGTAAATTTTAGTTTGTTTTTATAACATCTTGTATTTTATAAATGGTATAAATCAATCAAAAAATATTTATCCTAACAAAGTAAATTTATCCCATTCAATGAGAAGTATACGTTATACAACATTTTATAATTTTTTAGTTTGCTTTTTACACCATTTTACATGAATTCGAGTATATTTAAATTTAATTAAATGTAGATATTAGAATTAATATTTTTTCATGAGAAAAATTTTATGTTTGTTTATCTTCAAACATGTGCTGTGATACTAAAAACAATATTTTATAAAGAAATATTTTCTCAGAAGTATTATTAGTAATTTTTAGTATGGTGTGTATGTTTGGTTTTTCTTTGTGCTGTGACTGATTTATTTCTGTACATTATTATTTTCTATCAATGTTATGTCACAAAGAAACTTATTTTTAATAAGTGTAAATAGTTTGTATAAAAACATTGTAATAGACTTTAGTTTGGATAAATAAATTATAATTTTTTCATAATTCAGTTTGTTTTATTTTGCATGATTGTTGTCTTCATTAATGTTTTTATTAAATATTTATTTGTCATGATGATTATTTTCAGGATTAAAGTTTCTTCAGGAACTGTTTTTTCTGTACAGTCACAGATTATAAATAAAAAATTTAAATTCTAATGATGTATTCTTTTGTGATTGTCTTATGTGTATTTTAGCTAAAAAAAAGTTTAAGGAAAAACGCTTGTTTATAAAAAAGTATTGGTAAAAAATCCTTTGATCTATTTGAAATTTTTAACACCAAAATATAATACGTAAATAAAAAAATAAGGTATTTAAGGAATATTTTTCGTATATACAATACAGTGGCGTAAGAGGGGAAACCCCTCCGAAATTTTCAGTGTTTTTCACAGACAGTTGATTATAAAACTGCAACTACAAAAATTTACTTAGGTTGGGACCAGAAAAAATGGATACAGTATTACAATAATTGTAATACTGTATCAATTTTTTCTGGTTAATTATTAATACATGTTTCGGAATTTTTGTGTAGGCTTTATAAAACTGAAAAAATGTTGAACAAATGACAGTGGACATTTTTTATAATCCAAAATCAATGTATAAGTTTTTTATCTACTCCTACATTGATGAGCTGTGACTTTATGGCGTTTTAGTCACGGCTGAATTTGGCTTTATTATAAAAATAAAATTAAATTGGTTTTAAATTCTATTTCGTGTTCGTCGTAGATAAAGTATAGTATGCAACTCGTTTATAAACTTCTCTGGACACTCGTTTTTATTAAACACTCGTTCGCAAGCATACATATATTATATATTATAATATCTTAGAAGTTTTTTCTTCTAAGCATAATATACTATATAAATATATAATTCCACAGTTATATTTTCATTCTTTTAAAAAATTAAAAATATAATAGCTCAAACATTAGAGCCTTTATGATAAATCCTGAAAAACCTGTTAATTTTTTGTAATACAACCCAGCTTTTATTTCTGTATCAAATTTTGTCGCACAGTGTAATAAATTAAAATCTGAGCTGGTTTATCAATCTCTGGTTAAGTTTCAGTTAGTCTATCTGACAGTTAAATTCCATATCGATCGTTGAATGAATGAACACTGGTATCCTACTACAATATATTATATTTGATCCAATTCATAAAGACACAGTCTATAACCATTGATTAATAAGTATATATATATATATATACATATTCACTCAAGTTGAGTGACTCAACGCTAAAACCGTTGAGTTTAATCGATGCTAAAACTTCATGTAAACTAGAATCTTCTTAAGATAAGACGGCGCTGGTGTTCGGTTTATTCTGAAACAGCCTAATTTGTACCGAAACGCTACCAAAAGTGCAGACATCAGCAAAGATTATCTTTGGACATCAGTACGCATCGACAATCAGCGCCGCTGGTGGTGAAAAAAAAAGACTTAATTTGTGCAATTTAGAGGGCAGGTTTTGTCAATTTCCCCTATTAAGTTCTGGTATTATTTTTGGTTCGGGCTCTTTGTTAAACAAACCAAAAACGCTCAAAAGGTAAATAAACAAACACAAATTGTCATCTGCCATAAAAAATTACTCATAATCGGACTCCTAAAATGGCGACTTCCGTCGTGAATTTATTACATTAACGAGATTCGGCAGGGTCCTTCCCAGGTTCTTTCACCCTGGTCCTTCCTGAGGTTTTTTACTATACTCTATGGGTTTTTTATTCAAAGGTGCATACCACGGTCTTATATACAGGTCTTGCAACTTCGCCCAATTTCAATAGGAAAAGTGACCTCTCTAATGAGACACCCACCAGATGGCGCATCGAGTTGAGGGTGAACCATAGATGTTTAAAGGTCGTTTTTACCTTCTTTATCTTTGGGTTTTACAATCGTTAGATAAGCTCTCTGGTGGATAATTTTCTTAGATAGAAGGTTTCTATGAATGTTATCCGCCAAATAAGCTAACTTAATCTAACGATTGTAAAACCGGCTCTAAGTCCTTAAAGTCTATGGGATAAAGGTCAAATGAACTACCTACTTATGTTCTGTGAAGAAACATAACCTACATTTTTATAAACAAGCTTGTGTATTTTGTTACAGGGAGTTTTTACTTATTGTTATTGTGATATTCGTTATTGTTATATTATATTGTTCTATTTTTTCTTGTTATATTTGTTCTTGTTATACACTTGTATTTGTGCTTTTTAATAGACATGAAGTCCTGTGTTGTGCCAAAATGTAACCAGCAAAGCTATCGTTCCGGCATTAAAATTAAGCAGTCCATGTTTAAAGTGCCAACAAATAAGGAGCGGTTAAAACATGGCAATGTGCAATAAAAACATATTATTGACACCTTCACATTTTGTATGATTATTATATAATTAAGCACATCTTGTTGGTGAAATATATATTATTTTAAATAAACAATCAACCCATCCCCGCCAAGACAATAAAAAAATCGGTTATTAATAAATTAGCCAGAATATTGGTTGGTTAGTTTGTTGTGTTACTAGAAATTTTGGTTTTCATATTAGCCAAATTGAATTGGATAGTTTACAAATTATCCAGCTATTCCTAAATAATTTCAAGTAAATTAGGGTTGGGGTGGTTTACAAACTAGCCGCTAATTTAGTTAAAAATACGTTTTCAATTAAAATAGCTGACAGTTTGGCTAGTTTATAAACTACCCAGCTACTTAATAAACTATCCATGTTTTGTTAACATAAATTATCCGAAACAAACTCACAAATATTAAATTTTTGAAAATGTAAACAAAACATAGAAAAAGAATTTAAAAAGTTAGGTTATGGTTATGCAGTAGTTCCACATTTAACTAAGTAGTAGTTTAATTGACATTACCCCTTCGATCTTAGCGCCACCTAGCGGCTTGGCACGTTAAGGAAGCCACCTCGAAGCTTAAAGTTGCAAGACCTGTATATAAGACCGTGGTGCATACACATCAGGATACAGATCATGGAGCCTATACAAGGAGCCCGAACTTCATGTAAACAAGAATCTTCCTAAGATAAGAGGGCGCTGGTGTACTACCGGTCCAAAACAGTAGAGTGGTATAACCAGAGATGGCGCCACTACCTACCACTTATCATAGACACAGAATAAAGATAAAGATATTCTGTGTCATAGATAACAAAGCCACTTATTATTGTGGAAATAATTGAGGTTATAACCATATATATATATGCACCTGGTTTTGTGTATAAAGGTCTTAATTTACAATAAATTTATATCAAATTTAACATTGGAATTCATGTTGGACTTTCTGATGTAGAGTATAGTACAGTTTTTTATAAATACGTGTTTTTTTCTATAAAAGAATGTCGTGTGATGCTAAATCGTGTAAAAGTAACAGAATATTAAATCCATATGGTATTTATTTTTAGTTTTATAGGTAGATGGCTTAAATAAAAGTTCAATATAAACAAATAAAGGTGGAAATTATTAAATATGCTGTTTACTCATTTTATACATACATTTTTATTTAAATTAAATTTAAATTATTAAATAGCGGTGTATTTCTAACCTGGAAATCTAATTTTGCCTCTCCAGAGTCTTAAAATCACTTCACAGATTATAAAGAATCACTTATATTTCACAACCAAAACCTATTTATTTTGCTTCTCCAGAGTCGTAAAATCACTTCACAGATTATAAAGAATCACTTATATTTCACAACCAAAACCTATTTATTAGAATCTACCTACCAGGTACAGCCATAAATAACAAAACGATTCGTACGTCAAAACATTATTGCAAATCAATTGTCAAAATTACTTGCTTACTTCACATGTATTTTTGATATTATTTTCACGTCATACCGACGCATTGACAAACAGCGCCGCTGGTGGTGAAATAAAAGACTTAAATTGTGCAATTTAGTGGACAGGTTTTGTCAATTTTCCCTATTAAGTTCGGGCTCCTTGTGTAGGCTCCATGATACAGATAATCCATCATTGTTACAGGTTTCTGAAAATATTATAAAAGTCTACTTAACCGACATTTAATCCTTCTGCCTAGTGCAGTCTAGTGCTCCTTAGATGTCGCACCAATATTTACATAATTCTGTCATTTTCATGGCAGAGACCAGGCAGAGACTTCAGAAAAATTTTACTCTCAGTTTGGCAAAAGCGGTCGTGGAAGGTGTTGTACTCGTTAGAAAATCATTAACCTGTACATCGTGCGTATTGTTTACAGTGAAACTAGTGGTTTCGTTTTTGAATAGACAGAACAAAACGTCGTGGTGGAGATATCTTTGGGGTCAGATCATTGCAGGCTTTTCTAAAAGGTTAGTCACGATTTTTTTGAATTTTTCGGCAAGGCTCTTACAAGAATTTTTAAAGTAACGGTAGGTGTAGTTTTGAAGTCGTGCCCTCGACTCTGACTTATAACTAAAGATATTTGTTGCTTATTTCTGTAACAAATATCCTGCAAGACTTTTTGGTACACGTGAGATATTATTTACACTCGCGATAGCTCGAGATTATTTATAGTTTGTATTTCCTCCTAACCTCTATCATTAGTGGTGCATAATAGCAGTAATGAACATGAAACTTTTACTTTCTTTCGGAAGAATAGGATTTATTTATTACATACATACAAGTGGGTACCTAATGTAAGAGAAACTACTACTTTCAAAGGTCAATTGAGGCATATAGCGCGTATGCAAATTTTTGCTTTTGTGTTTACACTAAACAATTATCTAATTGCAATTGCAATAATTAATATTTGTAGCAGGTTAATACCTAGATCTAGGGTTTAATCGAAGGTTTAATATAATCTTCTTCTTCTTCTTCTTCTTTCTAAGTTCGGTATTGACAACCTTGGTGCTTGGAATCTAGTCCATGTGACCATATGCTTGTAGTTGGGAACTAAGGTCCTGGATGTTTTATCCCAGGATCTCTACACCCCAAAATGACCCTCTTCGAAACAGTTTCTTCCAGAGGCAATGTAGACTTCCAGGTATTGTGATGGAAATGATTTGAGAGGAATAAA